ATTCACCCGTGGACATCTCATCCCCGTGCCCAGCTCTGCCGGGAAAGGGTTGCATGTCCTGAGCATGTGGCTTTTATGGAGACAACGTCATGATGAAGCCACCAGATCTCATTCAAGGTATCCCTAAAGTGAGGTCTCCAGCGCTGCGTGGTTTGCTGGAGCAGAGGCCCGGCCACGCTCAGAGCAGGGGCTGGAGGACGCCGCTCTTGCAATGTATTATATGGTCCTGGATGGTCTTCAGCTCTCCCCTCCTCAGGGAGAAGAAGGAAGAAGTTCCTCCTAATGGGATTTTCTCCCTGGTGGAAGGTCCTTTTCTTGTCATCTTGGCTTCCCACCACTCCCCTTCATCTGCCTGGGCGCTAGCTGCACCCACTAATCGTTTACACACTAGACTCTTTAGAAAAAAAGATAAATTAGCTCTGTAATAAAATATAATGAGTATCCTACTGTTAACATCAGGAGCAGCCCTGCGCTGGGAGGGGGACCCGGTCACTCCAGCACCCCCAGCAGTGGAGGTCGCAACTCCTGTGTCCTCCAGAGATGCTGGGGCACCAGCATCCCCCGGGGATGCTGCGTTCCCCAGCACCGGGAGCAGGGAGGCTGAGCTCCGGCTGCCGTTGAATCAGGGAGGGAGATCTGAAAGCACTGGCTGCAAGGCTGGCGAGCACGGAGGCATCTGGCACAGGCTGCCGAAGCCGTGGCAGAGGATGCTTCATCTCAGCCCCTCACCTGCAGCCATCTGCTCAACGAGGTTTCCTAAACAGATTTTGCATCTTCCTTATAAACATAAACCACTCAGATTGGTCTAATGAAGATGAAAAAGCTTTTAAAGTGGGAATCATAGCTCCGGTTTGGGCCATAAAGTATCTCAGAATAGCTCTCCGTCATGGGAAAATATTGCAGATCGGGGGATCTGTCAGGGAGGATGGAGGCAGCTGACGCAGTTGTGGGCGCTGCGGCAAGATGGTTTGGAGATGGATTTGGGGAGGACAGGGGTCCGGAGAAGGTGCGAACCAAACTGAAACGCTACAGAGGCTATTTCTTGAACCTCTGCTGCTTTTGCCTCTTTAGTAATCCACTCTGGAGGGTTTCATGTAGTCCCGGAGTACCCGGGTGAATCTGTTGCGCCCCAATATCCTTTGTCAAGGAGGCGCACATGTCTGCAGCCTGCTGAAGGATAACCCACCTCCTTTTTTGTTTATTCTCAGCCTCTTCTCTGGCTGTTGGAAAGAGAGGAGGATCTCCAGAGGAGATGTCTCCAGGATGGAGCATCTCCACCCTGAGGCAGATGTCTGGATGAAGTCACTCAAGCACACTCTAGGTCCCTCTAGCCCCAGTGTCCTGCTTATGGGCTGCTCTCCCCAGGAGGTTGCCTTTTGGGTGACTCCTTTCCCTAGAGAATACCATGTCAAGTAAAATAGAAGCAAACCTTTCGCCCACCCAAGGTGAGACCATATCTGCTCCTTGCTGATAAGATCGCAGGCAAATCTCCGTGTGTGGCTTTGCCGTGCCCTGCAGTTTGGCTTCTTATAAGTATGCAGATCAACAACTGGGCTTCGTACGGGCTGGCGGGAGGGATGTTCATAGCCCATGTCTTGTCCTTGCTTGAGCCCAGACCCAACAAAAATCACTGTTAGGTGCTCCGGGAGGATGGTTCAGCCTTCAAGGGCCACCTTGTCATTACATCCTGGAATGGACAAATGCTGATGCAGATGTGTTTCTCCACCTGGGTAAGCCCAGAGCTGGAAAAAAGACCTTAAAATCTTAGAATCATCCCCTGATCCTGATGCCATCCCCCTGGGATGCTTGTGGAGAGCAGCCAGCAGAGGTGATGAGCAAGGTCAGAGCCAAATCTGCCTCAAGCACATTGGACATCGGGTGTAAAAGGCCATGCAAACCCTCGTAAACCAGCTCTGAACACTGTCCTGCTGCTGTTAAACCTCCCGCACGGGGCCTGGTGTGGTTTTAGGATGTGGTTTTACCCCAAACCACCCCAGGGCAGAGTCAGGAGTTAGCAAAACCACAGCCATCCGCAGGGGAGGTTTGTACATCACCACCCTCTTTTGGGTGGAAAAAGAGAATTGAGCCCTCCAGGCACAAGCCAGCTGTCTGAGGGGCTGGAAACTTGGCACCAGATGAGTTTCCCCATCTCTCCAACCCCCTTGGATCCCCCATCACCCCCAGCCCCTTTCCAGGCTTGTCCGAGGGTGCTATCCTGCACTGAACACATTGCAGAGGATGGAGCATCCCTCTTGCTTGCCCGTGCAAGACTTGGCCAAGGTGCATGAAGGAGCCTCCTGGAGGCCACCACTGCTCTTACACATAGAGTGGCCAAGGCCAAACCTATAGAAAACATGAGTCCTGCTGGGCTTTGGGCTGCTGTGCAATAGGGAAAGTGTCCGCAGCCCAAAGCTGGTCCAGCTCGAGTGGAGTGGAGAGGCTGGGGTTTGATGGGCGCAGAAAGGGAGCAGTGAGCCTGGCCGAGCACGTAAACATGTCCACGCTCTGGAAAAGCCACCCCCAAGCTGGAAGTTTCTCTCCCGCTGCTTTTACACCCAAAACTGGTGGCTGGAGGACTCCCTGGCACATCAGGCAGAGATCCCCGCTGCCTGCGCTCGCCCTGCCCGGGGTGAGAAGCCGCTGCTGTCCTGAGAGCTTTGCTTTTAACTAAATCCCCTTTTATCCCGCAGAAAGACAACCCCAAATCCTCAGCACCCATCAGAGCACTAAGCCCTCCCACGCCTGAGCCCAAGGAGTGACGGATGCTCCTGTCCGGTGTGCCGGTAATAAACAACCCATGCCAAATCCACCGCCGGCGGTGCCGGCTGGTACCCGGTGAAGGACTTTCCATCCAATCCCCCCCCCCCACTCCAGCTCCAAAGCTGCAAACGCAATTAGCAGCATCGCCTGGAAAACTTTGCTGGCTGCAGTTCGCCGAGAGATGCTAATCCCTCCATCCGCCGCGGAGTCAGATCCGGCGAACGCCCGTCGCTTGCTCATCTTTTGTTCGGTACCCGGAATGGTCCCTCTCGCCCCCCCCTCACCCCTCCTTCCCTCCAGCAGATGCAGCAGATACGGTCGCCGGGGGGGGTATAAAAAGCCGCCGGGACCAGTGGCCGAGCGGCAGACGCTTGCCGGGAGCGTGCGGGAGAGGGGGACGGAGGGTGTGCGGTGGCAGCGGTCGGGCTCCCACCCTGACCACAGGTAAGCCCCAAAAACCAGTGACCAAGCCCTGTGGGTCTCCCCCATGTGTTTTGGGGTGCGTGGGGGGAAAGAAACTTTGCAAAAATATAGGTTTGATGGATGGTGGGGACCGGTTGCTGCGGGGGGGTGACACGCTGCGATGGACGGCTGCCGGGCAGGGGTTTCCCAGGGAGGGATGGGCAATAAAACACACTCTTCCCTCCCTGCCTCCGGCTTCTTGCCCTCTCACCTCCGTTTATTGTTGGGTTTATTTGCATTATCGGGTGTTAATGTGTTACAAAGGTGCTGCCCGCTGCCCCCCGGACCCTTGGTGCTGCTGCGCTGGGGGATCCCAGGCAGCGACACCCACAAATTCAGGCAGAAGACAGAAAAGCAACCTTTGTGTTTAAATTTGGTTTGTCTCACTGTTTTATTCCCCTTTCTGAACTTCTATTTGCTGTCATAACCATCAGGGTCTTTTTTTCCTTTGCCAAAGAAAGTTCCCCTCCACCCAGGTTCAACCTGGCATCTCTTGCACTAGAGGGAAGGGTCAGCTCTCTCCTCCAGCCACACATTCTGGGCCAAAATTAAATTTTCCTTCTGTTTTCTTTCAATGTGGGATGGGGTTTTCCTCCCGTAGAGCTCCCACAGCATGGGGGAAAGTGAGACACGTGAGTCCACGCTGAGTTAAATACAGCTGCTTGAGAAAGAGTTGGGGTTTGCAGGGGAGAAGCAACACGGGCATCCTTGGGGACCCTGGAGCCAGGTCCCATGGGTGTCCGGGAAGCAACCCCAACCTCATCCTTGATGGCACAGCAGCAACAGCTGGTTCAGCCCCAAGGTTTCAACCGGATCCTGGGTTAATTTTGGCAGCCCCTGGGGCATGCTGTGTCCCAAACACCGCCAGCACTTGCCATAGCCCTTCCCAAAAGCCAAGCAACAGACTTCAATATTATTTAATGTAAAACATTCACGTCTTACTCTTCTAATCCTAATTTAATATTATTTACAGTTGTGTCTCCCACCACGCAGGAGTTTTGCAGCTGCTCGAGGAGCATCGCAGGACAGGTTAGGAGGGAGCACATATTTTTTAGAGGATTCAGCTTGCAAGCAGCGAGTGGTTGGCAAAGGATGAAACCTTGAGACAGCTCCCTAACGCTTTCCCCTTGCAGCATCACTCATCTTTATGGGGTTCTTAGGAGGCGGCAGCAATCCCCGCTGAGAGCGATTGTCACCTGCGGTAGCAGTGACAAAAGACCTGGGCTCCAGAGAGACGCCTTTCGGTTCAGAAGGCAAAAGGGAGAGGCAGGAGGGAACCTTGCCCATTTTCTGGAGCGGCTGAGCAGAGCGGTGCGGGGGCAGGCAGGGAGGCAGCTGCAGGTGTTGCCTTCCCTTTTCTTTGCCTCAGTTTCTCCTCCAGCAAAATCAGCCCCATGCTCCTGGGGTGTAGGGAGGTGCATCCCTTTGCAACGAGCTTGAAGCAGGGGGGAAGCTTTGCAGAACGAGGGGTTTGAAGCACTAACACAGCTCCCGGGGGACAGGCAAAGCTGCAGCCCCGCAGGAAGGGACAGGGCTGGGGGACGCAGGTCGGTGCTGCAGGAGGGGACCTGCAACCCCAACAGAGGCGACTTAGAAAAGGGGAAGAGTAAGAAAGGGTAAGGCGGATGCATCAAAGAAAGCATTAAAGAATCTCCTGAAGGAAAAAAAAAAAGAGGGTCGGTGGGTTTTTTTCCTTTTTTTTCCCCCATAGGTCCTGCACGGTTTCTGGGCCCGCAGCCCCTCGTATCCCTCGTGCGAGCCCAGCCTCGTACCCCTGGCCAGGATGCCGAGCGCGGTGTGGAGCAGCCTGCCCGTGGTGCTGGGGCTCCTGCTCTGGCACCCTGCCGGCGCCAGCGGCCCGTGCTGGGAGAGCAGCAAATGCCAGGACCTCAGCAGCGAGGCCAGAATTTTGGTAAGCCTGGGGACGGGGACTGGCCTCCAGTTGTCTTTGGTTTCTGACCCCCTCCCAGGTACCGGTGTGGTGGGGCTGGGGGAGGAGGTGATGGGGATGCCAACACCGTGGGGTGACCCGCAGCAATGTGGGGCGATGCTTTGGACCCAATGAGCTGCAGGTTTTGGTGGGCTCGTGCCTCCTGGCTTCACGCTGGGGCATGATGCTAAAATTATTTTTTGAGCCTGCAGCGGCCCTCCTGCATGGGATGAACCGGCTAATTTGGGTATCGGCTTTGCCCCGCGCCCAAGGGTGCTTGCAGAGGGTGGTGGTGGCAGGACGGTGCAGCGGCTCGCCTTGTGCAGGTGCCGAGTTTGCTCCAGGGACCCCACCGTGGGGGCTGTGTGCCCCCCCCTGCACTGTTTCCAGCCACCCAGGGCTAGTTTGGTGCCTGGGCATGATGCTCCAGGCTCAGCTCTCAAAGCTCCTGACTAAGGGGGCGGCACCCGCACGGTGAAACCATCTTGTGAAACATCCCTCTCCATGCAAGCAGCCCCCCCGTGAAATCCCCCCTCTCCCAGGGGATACCCGGCCACGTGCTCACCTTTCCCGCACATCTCCCTGCCCCACGCAGGCGTGTGCCGTGGCGTGCAGAGCCGACCTGTCGGCCGAGGCACCCGTCTACCCGGGGAACGGGCACCTCCAGCCCCTCTCCGAGAGCATCCGCAAGTACGTCATGAGCCATTTTCGCTGGAACAAGTTCGGCCGGAGGAACAGCAGCAGCGGCGGCGGGGGGCACAAACGGGAGGAGACGGCGGGGGGCAACCCACCGCCGGCATCGCCACCCGCCGCCCCGCCGTCCCGCCGCGAGGAAGAGGAGGGAACGGGGCTGGAGCGGGAGGAAGGCAAACGCTCCTACTCCATGGAGCACTTTCGCTGGGGAAAGCCGGTGGGACGCAAGAGGAGACCCATCAAGGTCTACCCCAATGGGGTGGAGGAAGAGTCGGCCGAGAGCTACCCCTTGGAGTTCAGGCGGGAGCTGGCGCTCGGCGGCACCGGGGCACCGTCCGAGGAGGAAGAGGAGGAGGAGGAAGGCCAGGAGGAGGAGAAGGCAGCCGGCGGCTCCTACCGCGCGCGCCGTTTCGGCTGGCACGCGCCCTTGAAGGACAAGCGCTACGGGGGCTTCATGACCTCGGAGCACAACCAGACCCCTCTAGTGACTCTCTTCAAAAATGCCATCATCAAAAGCGCCTACAAGAAGGGGCAGTGATGGGGGAGAGCCCGAGGGGCGTCCCACCCCCTCCACCACCCCTCCCTGTAGCTTTAGTGTCCCGCTGGCATGTGTTTCACTTAGAGATCACTCGTTATGTCGTTCTTAATTAGTACTCCGAACAGGTCCGCTCCTGGGTTTCACTGGGTGGGAAGAGGTCAGGGATAAAGACATCAACCGCTTTGCCACACCCACTGGACACGCACGGGGAGCAGGGATGATGCCCCGTTTGGAGCACGCTGGATGATTTTCATATTTTCACTGAGCTGTACAATACTGTAAATGATAGATTAAAAGAATTCTAAAAAAAAAAAAAACAATACATTTTTTTTGCAAGCTAAACAGGTGTCAGCAACATCTCTGGGGTTTGTAAAGGGGCAGAAAAGATAACTGCAAAGTAAAATCCTGCAGCTGCGGGGTAAAGAGACGTGGCTGGGAAAGTGCTGGGGACCATGTTTTAGGGTGGGGGGAGAAAGAACAATTTTGCACCCCCAGCTTGGGAGCTTCACAGGAGTCGGTCATGGGGCTCCAGCAAGGGTGGGCTCACTGCAGCCAGCCCAGAGAGGGCACCAGGGGCTGCATTTTGGTGGGGGCCAGCTCCTGCACACCCCAGCCGCGTGTGTTTCGGTCCCAGAGAGGAGCTCCACGCTGATGTGACACGAGATGACAGCTTTTGCTGGCAGCTTGGGGAAACGCAGCATCCTCTGGGTGCTGTCCCAAGGAGCAAAGGCACTGAGCCAGGCTCCCCCAGCACCCACGTCCCAGGTAAACTCATTAATCCGCCATTAAACAATAATGCTGAAGAGCCTTGGGACTAGGGAAAGCTTCATTATTTATAAAGTAACGCCACTAACTCATGTAGTGAAGCAGGGGGGCAGGCTGGGGAGGAGGCCAAGTATAAAACCAGTTTCATGGGGAATTAAACCTTGATCGCCTCTGCCCAACTAACAGCTTAATGCTGCCAAAGTATAACCATGCCCATTCCCCCTTTTACACACTTCCCAGGCAGCAAACCACCAGCATTAATATCGTAATGCTGATCTCATGGGCTGGCTTTGTGCTTCCCACCACCTCCCGCTCCACTCGGGGATGGAAAGCGAGTGCAGAAGAGCCGCAGATGCCCCAGTGGGATGAACCCACCACTCTGAACAGGAGCGGCTTTGGGGATTGGGATTGCAATGCACAGGGCTGTGCATCCCCGTTTATTTGGTATAAGATGGTGGAAATACTGTTAAAGTAAAACAGGGCTCCTATTAGTGCTTTTCCCCCCACTCCTTAGCTAAGAGATGTTCTAAATCAGTCCTTAACATAGCGAGGAGCAGAGGGGCTGCTGGTGCAGCACGTGCACGGCTGGCGCACAGTGGCACGGTGCCCACCACGTATATTTTGGTCCCTCAGATAGCTTTCCAGGTGTCATTATCTCCCATTTTGGCCTTGGCAGGTGGGTTTGTGCACATTTATGCATTCTGTGAGCAGAAGCCCAGGACCTTTCCCCACAGCCCTGCGCACTGCAGAGAGCTTCTTCAGGATGGGGGAATATCACTAAATGAGTGGTTTGGACTGCTTATAGAATCACCATCAAGGGTATTAGCAAAAATGATTTTAAAGGAACTTATAAAAAGTGTGAATTCACAGAGTTTGATGGCAAGGTTCACTCTATTACTTAATACACAGATGAAATGTACAAAAGAAAATCAAGTTAGAATCAAACTAGAATTATTTATACAGAGACTGAAGATGCAAAAGGCTAAGAGAGAAACATACAAAGGAAAATCGAGTTAGAATTGATTTTTTACAATTTGCACATAGCTCGGGGATGTAAAAAGGGAGGGGAGACCCTCCTGTTGAGCCACAAGGTTCAGAGAAGACCCCCTTGCTTTCTAAACTCCTGATGGAGCTCAGGTGCGGCTGGACCCACTCCTAGTCCCAGACTCAGGCAACGGCTTATGTCTAAAGGGATTATGTGTGTAACAGCAGTCTGAGGTTCATTCACAGTTTGAGGTGAATCATAGGATTTAGAAAAGGCAATATTTGTACTTGCTATAGCATACCCAGGTTAATTCACACACGCATGCACACAGATGCTAAGAGAGAGAGAGATAAGCAATGGTATACCTGTTAAAAATTCCCCTCGAGTTCAGTGAAAATATTCACGTCAAGCATCTCAGCATCTTTCTTAGCGGGAGAAGGGTTGAGCCTCAAGGAGCGAAGGGTACCAGCCCAGGTCCTATTGTCGGCTTTCGGCAACGGTCCTCCGATTTTCACCAGCCGGAGAGATTGCGGGCTCCGAGAGGCATCCCCCTCAGAGGGAGATGCTGGGCACAGCTGGACCCGCTGCGGTCCAGGAGAGCTCAAAGGGTCTCACGTGGGACCGCTGTTTATAGGTTTGCCAGACAATTGCCTTTACTCATCAGCAAGTTACTGGGATTCCAGTAACACCGGCACCGTTTTTCACATGAGCTACGGTTCAGATAAGGAAGGCTCCAAGGCTGTCAGGGAATAACTAAAACCAGATAAGGGATGCTCCAAGGCTCTCAGGGGATCACTAATATTCCCAGTCCCCACCTCTGCCGGGCAACAGGAGTCCTTGGTAGGGTCAGTGCTGCTCCCCACCTTAGCCATGCCAGAGTTCCCAGGATGGTCAAGGGACGCTTAACTGCCCAACTCATTACACAAATGCTAAGGCCAAATGGGAATTCCCGAGATCATGGAGCGGCCCAGGACAGGGTGGTGGATGCACCACCACAGGGGAAAATGGAGGAAATACTGAATTATAAAGGATGATAAAGATGAAGCCCAGTTTGGGTTGGATCCTGGGCACAGAGCTGGGGCAACGAAGCTTGTCCACAGCCGAGGCCATCCTCTTCCTCACCCCGTGCCTTCCCTTCTCCATCCCAGCAGCAACCACCCATTGTCCCAGGGCAGAGAGACAGCACCCAGCTGCCTGCGCCAAGACAGCAGAGCCCCTAAAGTGGCAACATCAACATTTATTTGAAAAGGGCTTTAAGATGGTGCATTTGAAAATATCAACGGCTTCTTGGCCCTTTTAACAACCCACTCACCCCCTGCCATCGGCTACACATGGGAACACCACAGTGCTCCGAAATAGGGAGATGGAAACGCACACATGCACCTAAACTGACGACTTTATAGAAATATACTTTGTCATCTATACGCACACAAGTATCTAAACTAAACGTGATGTACAAACAGGTCACTTACACTGTGTGTGTGTCTGGGGGGAACATTTACAGGTGGAGTTTGGGTCCCAAAATGCAGAGGGGCAGCGGTGAGACATGCTGGGGGATGCAGCCGGCTGGGAGGTGATGGCCCCGGCCCCACTGCAGGGTCCCACGGAGCAGAGCAAGGGAAAAGCATCGTGACTGGAGGGACCGGGGGCTGCTCCGCAGGGATAACCCGCAGTCCAACGCCTGGGAGCAGAGGCCGGGGGTATTTTTTGCCCCAAAAGGGATGATGGGCACCCCAAGATGTGCCCCGTGCTGTGCCTGTGGCTCCCCTCCTTCAGTGTGAGCAAATCTTGTACTCATCTTCCCACCTTCGTTGTGGTTTTGAAGAGTTTTGGAGGTGTTTTTCCCGTGGACACACAATTTGGGGGTTAATCGCTTTTCCTACTGCGTTTTGTTAAAAATTTTAGTGCTTTTCATTAAAACAGCCACAAAAGCAAACACTTCTTCTCCAAGCAGCCTGCTTCGCATTCCTGCTGCCGACCCCAAAACCTGTCCCAGCCAAAACTCAGGCTCCAGCGGGACCAGGCGTAACCTGGGGAGCAAAAGGGGCTTGTGGACAGGGGCTGGAGACACACAGGGACCCTGAGGAGAGGTAGCAGCAAAGGGAGAGGCTCTGGCACTGGGCAGGACTGGGACAGGCAGAGCCACGCTGGGAGTGGGGCAGCACTGTGATCCAGCCCAGGGACTAAAATAAACCCTTGTTTTTCCTGTCCTCTTAAGCTAGATCATTTCCTAAGCCCAGATTACAACACGACCACACAAACAAGTGGTGACCTTGGGGCAATTGCGAACTGTATCCACCACCGAGGAAAAAAAAGGGGGGGGGGATGGTAAAGTGTAATTACAAGCTTAAAATAACTGCCTGAAGATCTGCAGCAAGAGGTGGCAGAGAAATGGGTCGTGGCTGAAGCAACCCAGCAGGGCACGGGCAGAGCCGGTGCGAACGCTGAGCGGCCGCCTTTACCTGCTGTCTCTCCGCGACGTGCAGAAGCAGCTCCCGCGTCTCCAGATGTCTAAAGCTGTGTCTCTTCGTGTGGCAAAGACAGAAGCAGCACGTCTGGCCGCAGGGGAAGGGGCTGCCCGAGCTCGCAGGAGAGACCCCCAGGGACCCCCAGGCTGCTCGGATGGCAACAGTGGAGAAGCTGCAGGCCACCCGACTGCGAAGCGTGCCCAAGCTCGCCTTGTGAACAGCATTAGTGCACCGATACTCGAAAGGCATTTGGGAGCAAGAGAGACCCTGTGAATGATTAAACACCCCCTGCGAACGACTGAACACCCCCTGCGAACGACTGAACACCCCCTGCGAACAACTGAATACCCCCAAGCGACCTTTCCTCCCCGTCCCTACTGTCTTCACCTTGCAGTTTTGGTAGGACCCAGAATTTTCTCCCACGTGTGTCTAAAGCAAAACTTTCAATAGGCTCATCTCCCCCAGCCCAAATCCAGTTTTATCCTATTGCACAAGAAGAGGTGCGATCCACAGCCTGCCAGATGCAGGGTCTCCAGGGTGTATCCTCTAAAACACCTCTTATCACAGCTATTTCCTGCAGTACTGGGGTTTCTTTGTGATTATGGCTCAGCTGATTTAAGATTGGGCCTTGTCAAAGTGATTCTGCTTAAAAAAAAAAAAAAAATTCTCTCTTTGAGACAGGAACCCCAAAACTGTGAAAACCCAGCCGAAAAATATGAAAACAGTGGGTTAATGTGTTAATATTCCCCAGCACGGTGGTTGCTCGTGCCTCGTGTCACCGCCCCAGGCACCCCACTGCATGCCCGGGCACGCTGCCTGTGCGCTCAGTCGCACCAGTCCCCTGCGAGCAGCCTGCCGGTGACCCGGGTGAGAGGCACAGCTTTTGTAGGTTTTTTCCCCCCAAAAAGTGGGTTTTCCCAAAGAAATTGAGTTTTCAAGTGACCTGGAACCAGCCAGGCTGCTGCATGCCCCCACATTGAGATGGGACGATCGCCACCCTCATGCTGCACCGGGCAAGCCGTCCGTCCAGGGCATCGGGGCACCGTGAAGCGCCCAGGGGAATTTGCCACGCAACCAGGGGGCTATGGGGAGATGCAGGCTCGCAGGCCAGGAGCTGGGCATGGGGACTGTCCCCCCACCTCTAGCAACCTGCCTCAAGCACCAGCTCGAGGAGGCTTTGGTTTTGCGGTTGCCCCAGGCTCCGGCACGCTGCACCCCAGGCCCCCTCCTGCCTTTTACAGCCTCACACCCTCCAGCTTCAGCCCTGCCCCTTGCTGGGGCTCTTGACGTGGCCGATAGATGATGCGGGGAGGGATTCCCCAGGGACCAGATTTGCTTTATGCTGGGAAGATGTACATACCCAACGTGCTCCGCCCGGAGCCAGAGCATCTCCTCTCCCCTTCCCGAAAACCAAAACCAGAAAGGGAGGTCACAGCAAACACCCACCTCCCCGCGCCGCTGTGCCCTGAGCCTCCTGCACCACCAACCGCTGCAGAACGTGGTTGCGGAGGCAGAGGGTCACAAAATAAAGTACGGGAGACGGGTTTGCGGTGCCAATGAATCTTGGGGTGACCTCGGTGTCCGTGTCCCCACCCGTCCTGCACGAGGACGCGCTCCCCACAGGGTCAGCAGTCTCTCCCCAGGAGGTCCTTTGGTGCGAGCTGTGCGGCGGTGGCTCTGCCCCACCAGCACAGCCGCCCTCAATACACGCACAGGTCTGGGAACTTCATCTCGTACACCGGGATGGAGTGGTTTTGGGGCTGGCCGTAGGCGGCTGTGATGGTGCCGGAGGGGCTTGGCGGTGGCCTGAAACACAAGAGATGGAAGGAGGTGGTTTACAGAGATGTTTGGTGAGAAAGCAAAGCCTGGTGTGGAAAATGTGCATTCCTGCACCATTGCAGGTCTCCCCGCTGCCACCATAGCAGAGGGGAACTGGGGCAGCAGATTTTCGGGTGGCTCGACAAACTGTGCTTGGCTTAGTGTGCTCAGCCGTCGCCCCAACTCACCGTATGGTGATCTCGAAGATCTGGTTGAGCTTGCTCTGCAGCAGCGTCGCCTGTAACACAGACACGGCGGCCGTATTAGTGCGGCTGCACCCTGAGGACTGCAGCAGTGCAAACGGAACAAACGCCCCGTTGGCCTTCCCTGGTCACCAGAGTAGAGGGAGGGTGGCCTGGCAAAATTCAGAGCCGCATTGTCACCGTCCGTCTCTCCCCAGCAGTGCCACCACAGGGATTAAAGTGCCGCAGCCCCGACTCACCCGGGCACCGCAGTGGGCGGCAATCTCCTCGAATGGGGCTTTCTGAAATTTCTCCACCACTTGCCGCCTCCGTTCCCGCTCCTGCTCCTCCACGGCGACGCTGTCTACTGAAGCAGAGGGGACATGGCTCTCAGCTGCTCCCTACCTGCACAGACCACCACATCCCCACCTCCCCAGCAGACAGCGTGGATTTGGGCATCACTAGAAAGCCAAGGAGAGGGTCTCCAGCATCTGGCTTTGGGACCAGCCCAGCCAGGAACACCTCCAGGGCCAGGAAGAGCTATGAAGCTGTTCGGTTGCCCTGCAGCCTGGGTGCAATGCTGCCATGGCAAGGCGCCGGGGACTCATCCATCCGTGGTGCGCACACACAGACGCAGGGGTGACAGCACCCATGCGCACACACCACGCCAGCCTTCACCTCTCCCTACCACGGCCGGCTCCCTCACTTACCTATCGCCTTCTTCAGCGTCTCGTATGTGATCTCTTCTGCTGGTGCTCTCTAAAAGAAGGGGAAAAGCAGATGAGGCTCAATGCACAGCAGAGGATACCGTTCTGGGATTACAACAACCCAGAACCAGTGTTCCAGGCTGTACTGTTGCACCAAACCACAGTCTGTCCTTAAAGATCAGGGATATCTTTCCTGGCAACGAGTGCTTTTAAAATGTTTCTTCAGGCTGGACTAGCCAGGCCTTACACCTCCCTGAAAGTAAAGATTTGCCACCCAAACAGCAGTGGGAGACCCTTCCTGCTGTGTGGCTCCCTGGATTGGGTTTGTGTGGCAAGGTTTTGGTAGCGGGGGGGCTACAGGGGTGGCTTCTGTGAGAAGATGCCAGAAGCTTCCCCCGTGTCTGACAGAGCCAATGCCAGCCGGCTCCAAGACGGACCCGCTGTTGGACAAGGCTGAGCCTGTCAGAGATGGAAGTAGCGCCTCTGGGAGAACGTATTTAAGAAGGGGAAAAAAAACTGCTGCGCAACAGCAGCCGGGAGAGAGGAGTGAGAACATGTGAGAGCCCCAGCCTTGCAGACCCCCAGGTCAGTGCAGAACGAGGGGAGGAGATGCTCCAGGTGCCGGAGCAGAGATTTCCCTGCAGCCCGTGGGGAAGACCATGGTGAGGCAGGCTGTCCCCCTGCAGCCCAGGGAGGTCCACGGTGGAGCAGATCTCCACCTGCAGCCCGGGGAGGACCCCACACCGGAGCAGGGGGATGCCTGAAGGAGGCTGTGACCCCATGGGAAGCCCGTGCTGGAGCAGGTTTGCTGGCAGGACCTGTGACCCCGCAGGGGACCCACGCTGGAGCAGTCTGTGCCTGAAGGACTGCAGCCCGGGCAAGGGACCCACACTGGAGCAGTTCATGGGAAGGACCCATGTTGGAAAAGTTTGTGGAGAACTGTCTCCCATGGGAGGGACCCCACACCAGAGCAGGGGAAGAGTGAGGAGTCCTTCCCCTGAGGAGGAAGGAGCGGCAGAGACGATGTGTGACGAACTGACTGCAACCCCCATTCCCCGTCCCCCTGCGCCGCTGAGGGGGAGGAGGTGAAGAAAACTGAGAGTGAAGCTGAGCCCAAGAAGGGAGAGGTGGGGAGAAGGTGTTTTAAGATTTAGGAGTTTTTTTCTCATTACCCTACTCTGATTTGTTTGGCAATAAATTAAATTAATTTCCCTGAGTTGAGTCTGTTTTGCCCGTGACGGTAACTGCTGAGTGATCTCTCCCTGTCCGTATCTCGACCCACAAGCCTTTTGCTATATTTTCTCTCCCCTGTCCAGCTGAGGAGGGGAGTGATAGTGCGGCTTTGATGGGCACCTGGTGTCCAGCCAGGGTCAACCCACCACACTGCCCTTGCAGGCTGGGACCTGTCAGTGCCTGGAGGGGAGCGTCAGGGGCAGTCGGGGTCTTTCTGACCCCACTCGCTGCCAGACACACCAGGACTGAGTTACGGGCGCCTGTGCTCGCAGCCAGTGGAGCAATTATGCGTGCAGCCAAATGAAGAATTAGAGAGGGCTTAACCGCATACTGTCAGGTTACTAAAAGTATGCAGTGCTGAGGGGATGAGGCAGCCCCTGCAGCTCTGGTGTAACACAGTACCTGCTCTCGCTCAGGACTGTTTCTCGACTCCACCTCAACCTGCAGGGAAATGGTCTCACCAATGCTCTTCCTCTTGGACAAGCGATCTTCATCTGGGGAGGAAGAGAAAGGGCAGAAGAGCTAATTGCAGCCATCTCAGGCGCAGTGGGGTGAGCACAGGCAGCCCCCGGGGAACACGGCCTCACATCCCATCCCCAGGGTAGCAGTCCATCTGAGCCATTCACCCAAATTCATCCAAACCAGCAGAACTGAGGACTGAGCCAAGCCCAGCAGACTTCATGGCTCCTTCTGTCCAGTCAGCCGTACATGTGTCAACCCCAGGAAGTTCCCAATTTACCACTTCATGCCTCAGTTTCCCCAAGGCTACTCCTTTAAAGGAGGGCAGAAAAACAACAGGCCCACATGTAGGACAAGAACTTCACACCCCCATAACTGTGCAGAACAAGGGACCAGTTTCCTTTCCCCGCCAGTTCTCCAGGATGCCCCAGGGTGGTGCGTACCCGTCAGCTGGGGGATGTAGGGTGTGCTCAGCCGGTCCGAATTGTAGCCGCTGCCGCCCAGCACCTCACTGATCTTGCTCTGCCAGAAGAAGACCTCCGGGCCCAGGCGGTCAAGGCTTTTGCTCAACCTATGGAGACAGAGGAAAAACCAATGGAGATGGCAGCACCTCTCCTGCTAGGGGAACCATGCCAGCAGGGTTTCCAGTCCCTTTTGGGTCAGAAACAGAGGGCTCTCATGGCTTTGCCTAGTTCCAGCACAGCCCAGCTACATCACGCTATTTCTGCGCACACCGGCACAAAGTCAGAGTCTCAGAAGGGCTCTCGCCCCATCACGAAGGATATGGATGCACTCAGGGAGCACCACCCTGACCTCGGGAATGTCTCAAGAGAACAGTGGCACTCACCGGGGGCAGCGTCTCCATAAGGGACCTCACCACCAAATGTGACCCATGCCAAGCGTGCCAGCAGGAACGGGACAGCCCAGCCAGCCTTGGCCTGAGGATGCTCAGCACGCAGCAGGCATCCTTGAGCCGGTGGCACGGTGGAGCAGCAGGATGACATAGCAGATCTACACCCATCCTGCTGTCAGACAAGGGGAAGGATCAGCCTGCAGAGCTGACCCCGGCATTTGGCTGGCTGTGAGCACAAGCCATGGTGGCCACCCCCTTCCCTGGCTGCATGGAATCCTCCTCATATTCTAAACAGGCTGAAAATCACTTTATGTCCTTCCCACTGTGCGATCCCCAGATGGGAAAGGAGACAAGCACGGGCAAGTGAAGGGTTGATAAACCCATTATCATCCACAATCTTAAGGATGCCAATCCCTCAGGAGCAGGTAGTGGGGAAGAAGATATTTTCCAGGCTCTTACCTGGGTCTCTCCACAAACACCTCTTCAGGGAGCAGATAGGGAGCTTCCTTCTGCCGCATCTGGATGACCTGTGGAAGACAAGCAAGGAGCCAAGCTCAAACCCCACGGGTGGCCAGGAGAGTCGATGCCAGAGCTGCCACGGACAAGGCTCCAGCCCTGTCCCCAGACCCTCCCTCGCACCTCATGGATGTGCTGGCAGAAGGTGGGCACAGTGGTGAGCTGGCTGATGAGGTTCAGGTAAGCTGCACCGAGGGCAAAGAGCGCACAGCGGTTGTACGCTGTCAAGTTATCCTCGTTGATCTGGGCAATCTCCTGCAGCAGAGACACAGACCCATGAGATGAGGACAGACAATGCCCCCGGATGGTTCCCATCCACCTGATGGCATCCCCTGCCCTGCAAACATCCCAGCTTTTGGAGCTTGGGTTTGCAGCATTTCAGAGGCTGGCAAGGCGACTGGGATCTCCCCCCAGCATGCTGGCCTGATCCCACTACGGTGGCAGAAGCTCAGACCAAGTGAGGCACTTGCATCCTGCTTCCTCAGAGACCCCAACTCCAAAACAGCCCCCCTCCCAGAGGCTCCTTCCCATCGCATCCCAGCCCACCCCCCCCACGGCGCTGAGTACCAGCAGCACATCCAGCTCCCTGCTGCCTACCTGCACGGCCAGCACCAGGCGGATGAGGTCCACCACGACCTCCTCGTTAGCCAGCTCGATGCTGATGAGCATCAGCATGCTGTAGAGAGCCTCATAGTGAGCCTGCACATTGCTCTCCTCCTTGCATATCAGGTAGATGTGCCGGTAGAGCTGCTGGCCATGCTGTGGGGACACGGAGAGATGCGGTCACCCCCTGAGCATCCCCTACGAGTAACACTGCCATCAATGCAGAGAAAGAAAAGCAGCAGGGCCCAGCAAAGCATCCGTGCGGGAGGGAGCAGAGCTCCTCCAGTCACCAAGCAAATGAAGAAAGGCCCAGGGAGAGGGAGCTGTGACTGTCAGGTGGGGTTTCACCATTTGATGCTGCACCCTGATGGGGAAGAGGCACCGGCAGGTCCAAGACCAGAGCCCAGGGCAGGCAAACAGCACTCACAGCACCAAGCCTAGGGAAAGGATGCCTCTGTTGCAGAAGCATTACAGAAATCATGGCTCAGACCACAGCAGAAAAATAAAGTCCTGAGACACGTCACTTGACAGCAAGGCATGGGAGAGAGCAGGGCACATGCTGGTGCAAGGGAAACTCAGCTCTGCGACAGATTTTGGTTTGAGTGCTGCATTGCTGCTCCCTGGTGTGCGCAAGGTAAAAAATTGATCCCATCCCTCAAGTTAGCTCCAGAGGGGTTTGCATCATCCTGGAAGTCTTTTAAGGAGGCAGCGGGGCAGGGGGGAATAAAAATAAATAAAATCAGGCAACTCCGAAAGCTACTTGATAAATAGCTTTTGTGATACCAGCAGATCCTGAGGTACACATTTCTTGGGGCAAATAGCAGATTTAGGAGTCTAGAAAGGCCCACGCATGAAGCGCTGATGGAGATTGAATCCCACTGGCTTTTCCCAGGGACATCCCCAGGTTTAGAGGCATCATGGTACTCCAAGACTCAGTGTGACTTGGGGAAACAGAGGCACAGTCCTCACACTGGTCTGCACAAGGACAGCTTGACCCAGACCCTGACACTACCTTCTTCATGAAGACAGTATCTTGGCGCGAGCATTTGTCCACTTTCAGCTTCAGGACCGAGATGTCGCTGATGGTGCTGCAAGGAAAGGCCAAGGGGAAGGGAAAACTCAGACACTGGAGGGAGGAGGCATGATTCCCGCATGCCTGCAGAGCTGCTGGCCGGGAACGAGATGTCTGGGAGGAACCGAGGGGGAAAACTAAAGGTGGCTTTTAAAACCCATCTGAGCAATTCAGACATTCAAGAGTACTGAGGCAAATCACTACAGGATTTCAAGGCAGTGGCACTCAGGAACACAAAGGCAAGTTACAAAGAAGTGTGCAAGCAAAGTGGATTAGCAGGACCACAGCAAAACACATGGAGATGTTTCCATCTGGGATTACAATCACCTTCTTCCAAGGTAATGCAGCATGGACAACACAAGTGCCCAGCAGGCCTATCCATGGGGACGCAACGCAGTCAATGAACCCACTCGAGTTGGTTATTGCTCCTGCACGTCCTCCTGGGACCACTGTCTAACCACAGTTACATTCAGCAGCATGGTCCCATGTCCCTCTGGGCACAGGCTCTCAGGGAGACCCTCCACCCACCTGGCTCTTAGCAGACCACTGATCTGCAGCATTAAACCACCCCAGTAATCCTGCCAGCGCTCCCAGCCCCAGCAGATCTCCCTCCCAAGCCCACTCCGCAGGGTCTGCAGGTCCCAGCCCTGTTGGGGGGCCCCCTGGACATACCTGATGGTGGAGAATTTCTGCCGGTTCCCATGGCGATCGATGAAGCTGATGAGGATCTCAAGGACAAAGAGGCGGATCTCAGCATCCTCCATGAGGGCTGCGGAGAGCAACCTATCCAGGAAGGCGCTGGGAAGTGCCGTGAGCATGTTACTGCACTGGAAGCCCACAGAGACCTGCAAGCGTCAAAGAAAAAGGGAGGCAATGTGACAGTGTCACTTGAAGGAGGTTAAAACACACCAAGAAAGAGGGGATGCAATCAGAGAAGACTAAGTACAGCTTGAGCTTTTCCTACACCATGCCAGGGGAGAGGGTCCCTGAGCTCAGCTCTGCCTTGCCAGCAGCTGGGACCCCCCCAGGTCTTGTGGGAGTTGGACACTCCTGCGGGGATGGTGACACGTTCATACCTGGAGGAGGGACTTCAGGAGCATTATCTGTGTCAGCCGATTCCGGTTCTCCCTGCCACGGAGAGAAGAAACAAATGGTAAAATCCAAGTGAAAACAAAACAACCCTCCTTCCATACCCAAAGGATGGAAAAGCCTCAGAAAGGGCAGGACGAATTTCCTGAGAGTCACCACCACAAACAGCCATGCTGTAAAGGTCTCCAGCAAATGAGCTCCAGATTTAACAGCCAGCAAAAAGGCTGCTAAAGGAATGATGAATATCAAAGTATACATCCTGCCATAGGCATCAGAAACAAGGCAGCACTCGCATCTCCAGGCAGGCACAAGCTGAGCTCAGGACGATGAACCAACCTCTGGATGTCCCCATCCCACAGTGACTCCCAAGGGACACCAGGCACTGGCTCTGAACAGGCTCCTCACTTTTAAGCAGCTGAAAATTGGTAAGATCCAAGCCCTCCTGTCCATGGAGGTACCCCTGCTCCCATCTCACTTCTTGCAAAGCCACCACGAACCACACTTCCACTTCAGTGATGTGGGGGGGGGTTATGCAAAAAAAGAAGAAACCTTGAATTCTCTACTGTCTGAATTCAGTCTTTTCTAGCCCCGGGGGGACACAGGGAGCTCCCAAGGTATTTCCAGGCTGTCCCAAGACACACTGCCTGTGCTGCCTACCTCTGCCCAGGGACTGGGCTACACTGCAAATGGCAGCATCCCCATAAGCTGAACTGCAGGTCGCACCTCCTCTGCAAACTCCTGGTTCACCTACACACCCAGAGCAAGCACCATCCTTCACACAGCGTCAGATGAGATCTAAAAACTCTCCCAGAGGAAGCTCATGTGGAGCTCCCGGGGGAGCTGATAAAGGAGCAGTGACAAACAGCCTGGCACAGCCAGCCCAGCACTGAGAAGCGACTGCCATCCTGGGGCTATGAGCCCAGTTCTGCTCCTGCAGCAAGGAAAGCTGCCCTGGCCGAAGGGCACACAGCACCCAGTCTGTCTCCCGCCATGTGAACTGGGATTGAACGCAGGCATCAGGAATTACCCCCATGTGAGTGAGGAGCAGAGCGTGTCTCCTATCAGCCAGCAAAATCTCTCTCCCATCAGAGACAAGTGGGAAGAGCCTGACCGCACTTTGAAGATAAATATAGCATGAAAATCTGTTTGCTCCTTACCTACATGTTTCAGCACTGATACCCTCGCTCCAAATAGCTCTCATGGTCTGTTCCCACACTTCTTCAGCAATTATGTTGTTTGGGTGTTTTCCCTTCCTTCTCTTCCTCCACCGCTGGGTATAAATACCACCTCCTGCTCAGTGTTAATAAAAGTTCAGAGGCAGCTCAGAGGGGCCACGCGCCAGCGGGGGAAGGCAGCGATGAGGAGCCAGTCCCACGAAGCCATACACGAGCTTCTCAAAAGCCACAGACAGCCCTCCCTCACCAGCGGCCACCTCACTGCCCTGAGACAGCCAAAGTCACTCCCCTGAATGTTATTTTTAGTTCCTGGCTAGTTTTGGACGACACCCTGGGACTGAGCTCCTGACAGCTGAATCTCTCAGCAGGTACCCTAAGAAACACAGACTTCAACTGCAGCACCACTGCCTGTAAACACCTTTTCCCCTTGATGCTCCAGTGTTTCAAGGGGCCCTTGTCATCACATTTGCAGCAGACAGCAAAGCATTTTAAACAAGGATCGCACGTTGCTCAGCTTCCCTCACTCTTCGGTGGAAGCTCCCGATGCTCAGCCTTTCCGATAACGTGCCCATGTTCCACTCTGTCCCCAAAGGCCACCTCAAGGTGGGAACAGTTTCAGGAGCTCCTCGGCACTTTCAGCCCCGCGTTCGAAGACTCGCGTCACCACACACCGGACAGCAGCAGGGAGAGCAGGGCAGGGGGGAGCAAGAGGAGGGAGGAAGGCGGCCGTTCTCACCCAGCTTTGCCAGCCTCGATGGGCTGCTGCGAGGAGGGTAGCGGCACCTTGTTCATGATGAAGACCATCACCTCAGACTGCTGGTAGGTGGGCAGCGTGCTGGCGAAGGACCCTGCGGGGACAAGAGCCAGCTGGCAGCGTGCAAGGCGTAGCCCACCGTCCCCAGAAGCACCCAGTGCCATGGGGTCTGCCCGCCTGCCCCCCTCCAAGCTGGCTGTCGGACCCCCATAGCCAGGCTGGGATAGGACAAGCCCTGCCTGGATCTGGCACCCGCAGGCAGCTTTACCTTCAGGGCGACTCGAGACCTGCCAAAACGCCTCCCAGGTGGGGCAGCCCCAGGCCGAGGCAGGGTGAGGCTGAGAGATGCCAACCCCTGCCTCTACCCCTTCGTTTTTTGGGGCTGGTGCATCCTTATCCTCAGCGGCTGCGGCAGGCTGCCGCCTGCCCTCTTTCCCTCCTCTCCTTCCCTTCCTCGGGGTCTCCTACCCAGGGAGAAACACGACTCTGCCCGCACACAGCAGCTCTGCCGGGGATGGCCGGGGTTGCAATGCCACCTGCCGATAACCCGCCACCACGCTTGCAGCCACGCTGCAACAGATAAACCTCATTTCCCATTGCCGCTTTTAGGGTGAGGGTGACTTCGTTTCACCCCAGATAATCCCGTAGAGGCACAAGGCAGAAACCCACCAGCGCAGCCTGCGCCGGGCACGGCGGGACACCTCACCTATGGTTTTAATGACGGCCTCCTGGAACATCCTCTCCTCGTGCTCCTTGATGATCTTGGTGCTGACGCCGGCAGCGCAGTCGTAGCTCCCCGTCAGCGCGTAGTCGATGCTGAGCCGCAGCTGCCTCAGCAGGGTGTTAAACACCTCCAAAACCGTGGGGCCTGGGGGGGGGAGAAGAGGGAGACGGTGGAGCATCGCCGGAGGAGAGCAGCAGCTTTCCCCGTGGAGATGGAGGCTGTAGTTTCCCACAGGACAATGTGGTTTGTGCATCCCATCACCCCATAAACAGGTTGAAAACAGTTTAGCCAGACACAGAGTGACTTTTAGCCCCCGCCAGCTTCCCCGGTCAAGACAGGAGACAAATGTCCTCCCAGGAGCACCGTCAGCTCAGCATATTCACAGCAAGCCCCTGAAAATCCCTTTGCCCCCTGTCACAAAGGCAAAGGCTGGCATTGTATTCAGCCCTCCAGGTTTAGGTCGCTGCACATGGGCATGGGTGTTGTGCTTGGGAGCACTGAAATGGCACAGAAGAGATCCCAAGCACCCATGGATGCTCCGGACTGGATCCCTCACCACCAGCTCACACCTGGGCGCACGCCAGAGCCCAGCCCAAACGTCTGGCACCTCTTCACCATTCCCACCGCAATAAAAGGGCGAAGAGATGGATGGAGAGGATAAGTTTATTCACTTACCAACAGATCCGGAGGCTGCGATCACTGCTGCCTCCGAGAGGACTTCCACGATACCTGCGCGCACGGTGGCCGCGCTCTTGCTGTTGGCATCCAGGTGCCCCAGGAGCTGCTGGATGACGAGATGGGAGTGCTGCGGCTGGGAAGAGAGCATGAACGTCAGCACGGGTGCTGCATGCACGAGGTGACAGCCCGTTTCTGTAACCCACACGGCTACCAGGGACAAATCCTGCACGTGTGCCCAGCTGCACTGAGTCCCTGCCCGGCTCTTTCCAAGACAGCTCCAGATGCAAAATGAGAGGAGGCACCTGGAGGAAGCCTGTTTTACATGACTGAGCAAAAGCTTGGAGCAATTTGCACGGGAAAAACGATCTAAAGAGCTGTACAGATGTAAGGAAATTGTGAAAATTAATCCTGGGGATTTCAGGGAGAAAAGATTCGATTTTTGCCAGGGTTTCCCAAAGACATCTATACTTCAAAAGGGTCCTGCTGAGTTATTGTGACCTGACGCTTCCAATATGCATTAACAGGATTTTATAAAATCTAGTAGCACTGTAAAGGGTTTTAGTCAGTTTACAGGATTAAAAACAAGAAACGAGAGCAGGGGGCAGAGATCTGCTTTTCACTGTAAGAGTTCTCCAAGCAGAGCTGTGGCTTGGCTAAACCCAAAAGCAAAGCAAACTTCCAAAGGGGTGAAGTGGGGCAGCAGGTCTGGGACAGCCTCAGCAGAGTGGGAGCAGGGTGGGAAGGCAGCACCATGCCCAACAGCATGCAGGGACCCATGCAAACAGAGCTTCATTGAGATCCACATGGAAAAAGAAAGGATGGACCTCTTCCCATCACTTTGGGGTTTACCTAAACTGCATTTCCATAGCCCCCAGTGAGAAGGGAAGAGGCTGGCAGGGTCTGTCTCCGAGAATCCCCATGTCTAAGGATGGGGATGCTGGGCTGCAGGTGCTGTCGCGATGCCTGGTTTGTCCAGGGCACGTTTCACCCCAGACAGCGTGGGGATGAGAAGCTTGGGTTGATTTACACAGCAACGATCTGGAAAGAGGCAGCTTTCCATGGAAGCCCAACTGCTTCCTTTGGAGTGTTTCACAGCATGCTGCTAGCCCGTCTGATTCAGCAGGGCTTTGCTTTTCGCTGAGAGGGAGGGAATCGCTCCCGGGACTGAGATACAAGCTCCATGAGCAGCATCCTAAAACACGTACGGCTGGCGCACAGCCAGGTTAACTAACACGTATCAGCCATTTCCCCACATACCCATGGGGCCCCCAGCCCACGCTGCCATACACCCGGGCTGCACCTGTCTCCAGCCTATTTTGGGGCATGTTTGGTGGCCGAGCTCATTGCAAGCGCTCGGACTCGGCGCCGCCGGGATGCGGCAATGCGGCGGCGGCTCTGACTCAGCCCAGGCGTGGAGGCAGACACGGATGCTCCCAAGCATGCACATGCATCCCCAACCGGTGCCGCCAGCCAGAGTCCCGCCAGCTCCCCACCTGGATTGAGTACATGATGATCCTGAAGCAGCAAGTGGCAAAGATCTTCGGCTCCCAGAGTGAGTGGTTATCCAGGTGGCTGGGAAAGAGATGGAAATGGAGATGAAAGTAACTGTTGTTCCCACAAACCCTGCAGGGGTGCAAAGCAGCAGCAAGTGCCAGGGACAGCCAGAAGCAGCAGGAACCAAATGCTGCAGGCAAGGGCAGGGACACAAACTCCTCTCCCGGGTGACTTTTCTCAGCGACAGCTATCTATTCCATGCTATATTCCTCGTTGCATCCAAAAATGAGAGCTCAGCCTGAAACCAAGTTCCCATCTCCAGCGCCGTGCCGAGGGGAGCCAGAGGAGCCTATGCCTTTGCGCCAGCTCTGGCCCGCATTAGCTGTTTCCCCGTGCCTCAGTTTCCTTTGTGCCAAAAATGAGGGATGCACAACTTACATGAGTACGGGTTTGATGGCGTTCTTGATGTTGCCGTATGCTGCTCGGCCCAGCAGCTCCCGCAGGCACCTCTCTGCCAGCTCCGTAGGACTCTCCTTCTCCTTCTCGGTGGCTTGCAGCGGGGAGGGGGAGCGGCTGTGAAAGCAGAGGAGGGCGATGAGAGCGGCGTTGAGTGTGTGGCAGCAGTGGGGGAGAAGAGGCACAGAACCCGGCCAGGGAGGGTTGGAGCAAAATGGTTTTGGCATCTGCCCGCACCCCGTGCTGCGCAGGGCCGTGGGCTACCCCTCACACAGCCCACAGCCACCCCACAGCAGTCAAACGTCACCCTGCCAGGCAGCTCCATCCCAGTAGAGCCCAGGGATAAAGCGCTGCTGGATTTGAGCCAGATCAGAGAGCAAGCACGGGTGCACGGATTGCAGAGGAGGGGGACGTGCCAGGATGGCCCCGCTTGCAGCACCAGCCTGTGCCAGGCAGCAGGGACAGCCCCTGCGTCCCCGGGACTGGGATGACGATCACGGTGCTCGGTGCTGGAGGGGAAGGGATCCCATCAGTGAGGATGCAGCACATAACGTCCTCCCAGGGTGAACACAGCTTCCAAGGGGAGGAAGAGCAAAGCAGTCACAGCCCGGCACAAGTCACCCTGAACACGCACACCCCAGAGGAGATCCATCCCTTTTTTCCACACTTGGGCTTGTTTGGCATCACACAAACACCATGAATGCTTTTATCACCTTGATGCTTCAGTTTACAAGAAAAAGGGAAAAGGCATCTGGTCAGAAGCCAGCTTCCCAGGGCTGCCACATCTCTCTTAACCTTCAAAAGGAAAATCCCAGAAGGAATTCAGGCCTGCTTCTCTGCTCTGCTCTTCTCAGCTAAGCATCTCCCCTTCAAACACCCAGCTGGTGGCAAGCACACAGCCAGCAGGGGGTTACACTGGAAGAATGGAGGGTCAGTGAGCAAAGACATATTTCGGTTCCTGAGATTCCTCTTGCCTGCCTTTAAAATAACTGCTTCGGTAGTGTTTAAGCAGGAATCCCTCACAGAGGTCAACCCACTGAATGGGCAGCTCAGAGCCTTTGCAAACAGCATGCCTTAACTGCAGCGACAGTGCAGAGAGCGCTCTGCTCCACGGGAGCCTCGGTGCCCTGCAGTGGCCAAGATAGCAATAACTTTCACAGCACCGGGTGACGTGCAGAGCTCCTGCCACCTGCAGCATCCTTCAGTGAGATACTCACAGGGTCTCCCCTCTAGCCACTGGCCGCATTTTTCACGAGCTGCAGGCACAAATCAGCCTGCAATGCCTCTGCCTTGCAAAACCTTGGCAAAAGCAGTCCCAGGGCCCTGAAGCTGCTGGTGGAGCAGATAGGTCACGGCAGCAGCAAGCACTCACCTTTCAGCCTCCTCTACATGCTGTAAGTTGAAGAGCAGTGAGGGCACGATTTTATCCATGTGCTGTGGGTCCCAGATGTTGGCTTGGAGTTCGTCGTTCACCGTCTTCCTCACCACTCCTTGCAGGCCTTTAATGCCAGACATCCGGATCCTAGGGAACAAATTGACCCCAAAATGCTACATATCTATATAGCATACGTTATTTTACATTTATATACAGATATATATATACGGATGAAGCTGTGCAGGAAGTTGGAGAGAAGACACTGACTTCTGCACTGCTGGAGGGGTTCGTGCAGCTGATGCCCCAGTTGTAGAATCATAGAATCATAGAATGGTTTGTGTTGGAAGGGACCTTAAAGGTCATCTAGTCCAACACCCTGCCATGAGCAGGGACATCTGCAACTAGACCAGGTTGCTCAGAGCCCCTTTCCTCACAGCAGAGGTGTTCCAGCCCTTGGATCATTTTTGTGTCCCTCCTCTGGACCCGCTCCAACAGGTCCATGTCTGTCCTGTGCTGAGGACCCCAGAGCTGGACGCAGGACTCCCGGTGGGGTCTCACCCGATCGGAGCAGAGGGGCAGAATCCCCTCCCTCGACCTGCTGGCCACGCTGCTTGGGATGCAGCCCAGGACACGGTTGGCTTTCTGGGCTGCGACAGCACATTGCCAGCTCATGTCCAGTTTTTCATCCATCAGTAGCCCAAATCCTTTTCTCAGGGCTGCTCTCAATCCCAGCTCCAGGCCTGGTATACCCCAAGGCAATCCTACTGCCTCGCATCCCCGAGAGACATGGCTTCCTGCAGCCCAACAGATGCGAGCGGGAAAGGCTCTGAACCAGCTAAAAATCATCCTGGCAGCAGCAGCCAGCTCCCATCCACCGTCTTTCCCAGGAGGCCGCAGGGCAAGCAGCAGCCGCACATCTCCACGGCACGCACTAGCCAAGATGGAGAGGTGGCACTGGCAAGCCTGGGCTCTCTGAAGAATTGATTTTGGCTCTAGCAAGTCTCCGTTCTCTGGCTGTGGCACGCATGGAGGGTTTTCCCATTTCTCCCGTTCCCAGCAGCTGCAGAGCTGAGTTGCACCCACGGGGATGCTGGATGCTAGGGAAGCCTAGGTGCTTTTTGACACCTGCGTCCCTTTGGGTCCGAAAATCCTGACTCTGCTCTAGTTAATAAAGTCATCAATAAAAATTTCCCTACACAGCAGGATTCCCAGGTCTGAAACCAGCCCCTCAACACCCACTGTTAATGCCTGAGAAAGACAGTACATGCTTATCTGCAGAAATAAATGCATTAAATAACCGGCTCTGAGGTGTCCCTAACACTTTCTGCAGATCTGATCAAGGCAATAACCTGACCGAGACACAATTCTTGAGGAATGAGCTTTGAGCGGGACCAAGGGCCCAGGAAAACAGTGCACTCCTTTTTAATTACAGGAGCTGCAGAATTTCTCTCTTCCAGTCTCCATGCAATTTAGCCAGCATCACCAGTGCCCTGAAGGTCAAGTGAAAATAATGAGCCTTCGACATTATTTCCTTATTAAGGAAGAAAACCCCTGTGAGTCTGCAGAGTTAAAAGGAGGCAAGCCTGGTCCTTGGAGACAAGCCTCCACAAGCAGTGGCGAACCTCAGGGCTTCACCCACCCGCAAGACAACCGGTCCCTGGTACAGCAGCTCCGGGAACAGCACCAACACGATGTGCTCTAATGCTGCCTGACATCTGGGCTCTACTTAAAACTTGTCTCTGGCAGCAGTGGCCTCCTGCCCAGAGCCACAGGTGCTATGCCATCAGTGCCTCACAGGGCCATTTCAAGTGCCGGGTCTTTTTAAATACACCACTGACAGGCCTGGCCTTGGCAGCAGTAAACAACATTAATCTGTCTGTTTTAGTCGTAATTAATCCCCCCGGGGTACATTTCCCATCACGGCAAAGCAAGTCAGTCCTCAACGCTGTCTAGAGAGACGTAACCGCCCTTAAATGTGGAAAATAACAGACCACGTGGCTGCAGGAGGCAGTTTTTGAGTCAACATTCATTCTGCTAAGAGTGGGGGATCTCTTCCCATCCTCACCATCCTTCCTTTTGGGGTCTGGATAACTTCCTTACCTCCTGCTCCGAGCTCCGGCTGTCCGCGGGCTGTGGCCCTGGAGCAAAGATGATAAATGCTTAAAGATGCACTGAGGCAGCCCTGTGACGGGCAAACTGCAGGTGTTACCTGCTCACATTTTGGCCATAGAAAAGAAGCTGGAAGCCCGAGGGCACGTTTGTCCCTTGTCCTGTCACCAGCTGTGGTCAGAGTGAGCACAGGTGCCCAGCTCTCAGAACAGCAAATGCAAACCAACTTCTCTCATACACGTGTAATGCCGCACACAATATCCCACACAGCAACAGAGGTTGGACGTGAGCTGCACTGTGTTTTCTAGGCTCCTGTTTCATCCTCCCATACAGTCAAGGGTTTAATGCTTGGAAAATAAGGGAGGGTAGAGAACAGCAGCCTGAGCGCACCCAGCTCTGGGGAATCACTGAGCATCTCCATCACAGCACAAAGCAGTCAATCCGTGCAGCCCACATCCAACCTGTCCCCAAAAGCAGGCACCTCCCTGGGAAAGGCAGAGGCTGGGGGCACAGGGAAGCCCCCCCAGGACGTCTTCTCAGAGCCATCGGGGCCAGGGACATCCCGCTCGCAGCACTCACTTCGTCCGGATGTCGAGGTCGTCGTGGCTGGAGTGGCACATCTCACTGAAGCGGGAGACAAAGAAGTCGTAGCTGCGGTGGTAAGATGGGGTGTCCTCTTCGATGTTGGCAAACTTCACGAACTGGGAGAGAGGAAAGAGGGCGTCAGCTCAGAGGGCATGGCAAAAATATTCTTAGAATTCTGCTCCAAACCAGCAAACATTCGTGGGCTTCAGCAGTGTGACACAGGGCTCTTCACTACAGCAGCTCAGCGTGTGCTCGGGATGACAAGTCAGGCTGCCCAGCTGCACCCAGGACTTGGGGTCCCCAAGCGGGAACCTGCCACCGCGCAGCCCCACCGAGCTCCAGCAGCACCCAGGCCTGGCTGCAGATGCTGCAAACCTCACCGCAACCCCTAGAGAACCCTGTAAAGGGCATTTAGGGGTGCAATGAGGCTCTGAGTTAGGGATCCCTAATATGCAGCACACACTCGTAACAGGATAAATTTGCCCCCAGCTTCTTTCCATCCTCCCAGACAGCACAAAACCCAGCCAACATTTCCCAAACACTGCTGCAGGGGTGAAAACAGCCTTGGAAATGCCAGTGGAGAAACCAACTGCAAGCAGCTTCTTAACAACATCCCAGATCTCACCCGCAGCACCCAGCAGCACGAGGTCCCATTGCTCCCTTCCAGCATGGCCACGCCAACAGGCGTGGAGCTTGCCAGAAATGCCAGCTGACCAGCAGATCTGGCTTTTAAGCTTTCAGGGACAGAATTAAGGAAGAAGAAAGGATAAACATGTTTTCAAGCTTTCCTCTGAATTCCAGAGCCTATTCATGAAAAGATGGGAACAAAGGGTCGGGCAGGAAGGGGGAACCTTAACTCATCCAGTCACGCTGACAGGGGGAGCTTTAAAAAAGAAAAAATATATGAAACCTCAATAGCACAAAAGCTGCCACAAAATCCAAGGCATCAGCTTCTGGCTGGAACATACAGAGCATTCAGCCTGTATCCATGCAACAGTGCCCGGTGCTGTGAACGGACGAGGTTTATCCTTGGCCTGAGACAAGCATCGTGCCAGCGAGTCCCTGTGCTTTATCATCCTACTCAGAGCAAATCATAAGCAGCTGCTTGCCAAGACTTTGGGCAGAGAAAGCTGCTGGCTGCTTTTATGCTCCCGTGCTGCATCTGCTTCAGCATGCTGGGACAGCTGAGGGCATTTGCATGGGCATGCAATGAAGGGAGAGGATGCTCCCTGTCCAAGCAATCCCCAAAACCACCCCAGCTGCTAACTGCTAGCCAGCAACACTGGGAGAGCAACGAAGCGGTGCCGATGCCGGTGCAGCCCCATTGCTTACGACAGCATGGCACGAAGCTCTGCGGTCGCACTGAGCAATCCCACATCACTCAGGCAAGCTGTCCTGGGCCAAGGCATCAGGACTACTAGGTTCCTCTTCCAGCTGGGAGAACCTAACCTACCTCCACGGGGTTACCTGTCCACCTGGCATTTCGTAGGGTGCTCAGCACCCTCTGGAGATGCCATGCTGCACGGGAGCTCCTTCTTTACCCCAACCCTCTCTGCAGGCTTTTCTCACTTCTCGCTTTCTGCATTTGCTAGCATCCAGCCCTGCCAGGACAGCAGCAGGCAAATGACCCACCGGTGCCCCTCCGCTGCTGGCAAAGCCAGTCCGCCCGTCCCAGCGCATCACACAGGCGCTGATTAGCATGCACTCGCTGCGCCGGGCTATTAATAACGTCAGCTGCAAAAGCTGGCTCTGTGCAAGGAAAGGAGCCGGCTCAGCCCTGCCAAGAACTGCTCCCAGAGTGCAGGGACTGGCTCCAACTGATAAACTCCTCTTACTCACCAGAAAAATGCAGGGCTGTTATATAAGGAACCTCTGTACCAGGCAGCTCACAAAGTAGTTTTTTTAAGCTTATGACAACTCCACGTGTAACCGTAGGCAAGGGCAGGATTCAGAGTGAAGAGCAGTAATGGGGCTCCCTGAGGCAGCTCTGGAAGAGCTGTCCCAGGCATCCCATGGCCAAGAAGCATCGTGAAATAAAAGAAGGAAACGGCTTCTCCGCAGCCAGTACCTGCAGGTATCAATCCTACACCCGTGCCAATGACAGCAGCTCGTTTCGTGCCATCGGGCAACCAAACAGGACCACCTCATCAGCGCTCCTTATTCTGAAGCTGTGGAGGCCCAGGGGATGCCAGCCCACCCACCCACGCCAGCAGCGCTCGCGGTTCAGCTCTCTGCCCCGGGGGCGCCTTCCCCGGGCGGCTGCCAGGCACAGCGAGCCCTGCTCACCTCTGTCCTCAGGGGACAGACATCCTCGCATGGTGCCACCATGCCCAGTGACACTGGATGCGGCACAGTGTTTGCATCTGCCAACAGCTGGAGGCAGCTGCCTGCCCTCTCTGCACCCATTTTTCACCTGCAGCCTACAGCAGAGCCCGAACTTGTAAAAAGCAGCCAAGAACAGAGAAAAATCAGCCTGAAAGCCTCTCCTTCTTCCATCTATGGGACATTTTTAGGACTCTGCCGCTTGCTCACAGACTATTTCATTCTTCCAAGATTTCGCTGCCCCTACAAGAGTGCTACACCATGCAGCAATTAGGGGAGATACCCACGCGGGTCCTGCTGCCAACCTGTGCCCAATGGCAAAAAGCAGCACCAGGACACATGGAAATGACCCAGCAAGAGCTGGGCCAGCAGGAAAGGAGGCATCAATCCTTCAGGGAAAGTGACTTATTTTCACCAATGGGCACCGCGTCCCAGTCGAAAACTGCTCTGCAGCTTCACGCCATATTTCCACTGAGAAAACAGTTTAAAACATTGAAATGCAACACTATTTCTGCTGTGGTTTGAAGGGGTGCGGGGCTGGGCAGCTCAGGGCTCCTGTGCTTGAAGCCGACAAGCTCCAACTGAAACATGGCTGGGACGAGCAGGGAGCAAGCGCAGGGGGAATGCGAGGAGTGTGGCTGCCTTGGAGAAGCAAAACAACGGCTGGCAAGGGATAACGCTGCCACCTATAAATACATCAGACATAAATACATTAGCAGATGAACATCAAGGTGGGGGAAGAGCTGTTTAAATGAAAGATCAGTGTTGGTTCAAGGAAAAATAAAATAGGAATGACATCGAGCTGGAAATTAGATGGTTCCTACCCAAAGCGGGGAGGTTGCCCAGCAGCCTCCTAACAAGGATGAGAAACCAAAGTGGATTTAAGCTGCAGCTCCATATGTTCACCCCAGGGATTATCGGATGGGGTTATAGCGATCACGGGATGGTGGATTTTCGCTGCCGCCTCCAGCTCCGTGGCTGTGGAGCACAGCGGGCTGGTTGGGATCAGCCCCTCCGCAGCGCAACACCTTGGCTCTGTGTGAGGAGGGAGATGTGTTTCAGGCGAGATTTCACACCGCGGAGAATGACTCACTTGGAGCAGGTTTCTATAAACAACCTCCTCCCGCCTTTGCCATCAGCTCCGTTATTGTGAAGATTGCTTGAGACAGCACCCTCTAATTAAGCACGAGCCTGAGGCACATTCCTCATTAGCAGATATAGGAAGAAGTGTCTCATTATCATCGCTCACTTTTCTATAAAAGCCCACAAGTTTTCTGTGCTATGTGCCCTCTGAATACCGCCATGCTGGAGAGGGCAAAAAACCCCAAAGCATCACTAAACCATCATTCCTGATCTGGACTCCTCATTGAAACACCTGCTCCTGGTTCCTGACTGCAGTGACAGCAGCACTAAGGAAACACCTATCCATGGTCCAGGACCATCTCTCCTCTCCACAGGTGCCTGAACACGGGAGGTTTGCAGACTGGAAACATGAGGCAGGGCTCTGTCTCGCCTTGACCCAGTGCCTCCCACTTGAGGATGTCCGTGTTGGGGCTGGTACGCTGAAGCCTCTGCTGTGGCATCGTGAGCCCCTGCAGCAAGGGCTGTCCCCTCCCCAGCTCCATGCCAGCAGCTCCCATTGAGGCACAGCTCCATGCCATGTTCCAGTGGATTTAGGGCTCTGCTCAGGCACCAAGAACCTGAGGAGTGTCCAGAGAGCAGCCAGGAATAGGGAGATGCTGGCTGAGTTGAGCTTTAAACCCTACCTCCACCCCAGGTCCCTCTGGACCCTGGGACAACCCCAGCATTTCCTGAACAGCTCAGGGGCTGGGCAAGGGGATATTGCATGTGTTTGCAGGCAGGGCTGCACTGCAACATAGGGTGTTTTCTTAGTAAGAGATCCAGCTGCTTGCCACTGGGACGGATCCAGGCAGCTCTGGCACGTCTCAAGAGGTTTGGACAGCAAGTGGAAGTGGCATCTCTCTGGTCTCCCATGGAGCTTGGGCCACCCTTGGGCAGAGGGACGTGGGTGCTGCCTGGAGACCCTGCTCCCATTGCAAGGGGCTTTCCCAGGCAGCCCCTGCAGCATATCCGAGGCTTCCAGCAGCATCACCACACCAAAATGCTACGGTAAGCTGTTGTCAGCAGCAGGTTTCAACTGAGGCATCAATCCTCCCTCTTCTCCAAGGGCTGTGGATTAATAGGTTTGCCAATGGGCAGCTCACATCGCTTTCAGCTGGGAGCAATTAGCTGCAAGGGAGAACGGGGCGTGAAAGGTCTACACTCGGCTGCCCGTGCCTCGGCGGAAGCATTTACAACCCCGTGTCCATGACCGTGCTGGTTCCTGGAGGAGAGAAGCATCGCAGGATGCAGTGCTACCCTGTCCAGGAGGCGTCAGCAGAAGCATTAACACCGTCCCTCTCCGCATCGCACACGGCAGAGAATTAAAGCTTAGAGCTGAGCTCTCTATGCATTTCCCAGGTGCTTGAGAGAGCATCTACCCAGTTCACCCTCCTGTCTGCAGGATGATCATCTCCATCTAAATCCCCTCTTAGAAAGAAGCAAGGACAGATGCTGCTTGTCCAAGCCAAGCTACTGGGCACCGGCAGAGCCCTCGCAAGCGTGGGTGTTAGGTACACCCAGTGTTCCCAGTAAAAAACAGCAGAAAGGCCATGCATAAGTGGCTGCTGGCTGCCAGTCAGGATCAGCAGTTTGGATGCCGGGAGGATGTCACCTTCGTTCATCTGTGCTTCTCCTTTCCCCTTATTTTATGTCTGTGACCGACACATCCCCAGTCCAGCTAAGCCATTTACTGCAAGCAGCAGCTCTGTTTAAGCCAGCCCTTTTCTGAATACAAATAGCTCCCAAAATCCATGCGGATCACCTCCTAAGTTAGTCTATTGTCCGAAACTGCTGACAGCCTTCATGTCCTCAGGCTCATTTAGGAAAAGCTGAATTCAAGAGAGGGAAGGCATGGCAGCAGAGATCAGAGACCAGCGACTGGTCACAGACAGCAAACAGCAGGGACAGTGCACGGGCAGCACAGCCAGGGTCTCAGAAACCTCACGCATGGCAGGACACACGAGAGGGGACACCATAAATCCTCCCCTGCAGCTCTCCCCGTCCTTTCCCAACAAGATTTCCAGAGACGCAGGGGTGACAGGCAGGGTGGAAAGCAGAGGACAGGGTCAACAGGCTGCTGCCACCTCCCAGTGCTCTCCTACTCACCGAGTTGGTCCCCAGGATCTGCAGGTTGGGCTTCTCTGACTCCAGCAGCTTCGCCACCATCTTCAGGAAGCTCTCCACGAAGAGGTTGATGCTCTGGCAGTGGCAGGCCATGAGGAGCTGGTCCAGTGCCTCCATGGCGATACACACGTACCTGGGAGTGGGCAGAGGCCAGGGTCACTCCCCGACAGCAGCATGGGCCTGCAGCCATCCCTCCTCTTCCTCCCCTCTCCCAAACCACCTGGGTGCCCACCAGCAAAATGCCAACCTCCTGCCCTGGCCAACCCAAGGAGAAAAATTTTTACACTCAGAATACCCTTGGGATATTTTTAGATGGTGTGGGCTGCTCCCCAGCAAAGACCCAGCTGCCCCAGGACCCAGGCTGCCAGCAACACCTTGCATCTCCCCCCGCACCGTTTGTGGCTTCCCTTGCCCTGAACTGGTCTTTGCATCCCGTGAGAGAGCACTGGGCTTTGTACAGGGTGGGCTCAGCATCACAGGCAACCGTTCTTGCAGACCCAGCTGGTCCTGGCCAGGGAGGAGGGACAGGATGAGAACACAGAATTAGACTGATGTGCTCCAGAAAAGCCGTGCTTAGATACACAATAAAGCAACCCTGCAAAGCATATTCACATCACCCCAGAGCTCCCGGGGTGAGCAGGGTTTCCTCCAGAAGTGCGCAGACCAGGATGCAGCACTGCCCACGCCAGGATTACCTCGTCCCTGATCCCTCCAGGGACGGGATTCTGCTACTCAGTATTGGCTCTGCATGCTGAAGAGGGACAGGGGAAGCCCAGAACCTGATTCAAACACAGCAGCACGAGGGGACGCACCCGTCACGGGTCCCTGGGCCATGCAGAGGGCTTCCCTGAGCACAGCGCATCCCTTCTCCATCCCTCCCAAGCAGGCTGAGCTCACCCACAGACGACCCTCTGGCAGCTGGCTTCGCTGCAAGCTGCCACAGTGCATCTTCCAGGCTATTTATTAAACCAGTCCTGTGACACTCCTGCTTCTGATGGGAAGCTGGAAAACCTTGTGCCCAGCAATGAGTCCCAATCAGGTGCCCATTACAGAGGTGGCCAGCTCATTATGCTGCAACTGAAGAATTTGTTGGGTGTTGCTTCATATCTCCAAGATACATTGGACCAGTTGCTCGGGCTGGCTCTGCCGAAGTCTGTTCACAGGCTGGTCCTGCGGTGCTTTCTGCATTGACAGCATCTGGTTTGTTACCAACGCGGTGGCCGGAGCCCCTGGGTGGCCTGCTTGTGCAATGACCACGCTGACCTCCAGTTGCTGGTTGCCCACTGTGTGCATAAAGCCTAGCGAAGAAGCAATCCCCAGCCTCCGACTACTCTGAGCAGACATTTATTCCAGCTGGAGTTGCCCAAAATACACAAAAAACTGAAATGGTGATTGCACTGAGTCTGACAGCTCCAGCTCTTCTTGCAGGACCTCTGAGGTATCCAAACACCTGACATGGACCTGGGACCTGGACACTGGTAACAAAACAAACTTTACAGCTCCTTACCACCTTCCTTTGACTCCTGCTCTCCGTGCAGCTGTGAATCTGTATCGCAGCAGCTCACATCAAGCCCAGAATCTGCCACAGCCAAAAGCAGGAGGTGGCAAGCACAGATCTCTTTGCACTGAGCGCATTCCTCCTTTAACCTCCATTTTTCAAGCTCCTTGCACGGCCAGATTTGCAGCCTGGGTGGCATACAGCAGCCACCAGCTTGTGCTGCAAGAGGGAAACCTGAAAGCACCAAGCTGGCCAGCAGCGAGGCAGGCAGGAGCTGCCCATCTACTTGTGCCAGCCCTGCCTGCACGTTAAAAGGGAGCTGGGGAGGCAACTGCCCTCTCGGGGAGAAAAAGGTGTCTGATAAACCCTGGACTTCCAGGTTCCAGTTGGTAAAACACAGCAAGATCGATCCCTTCTTCTGAGGACCCAGAACTGTTGAAATCTGGCTCCAGTCTTGAGTAGATTCTCTGGTGTGCTGTAACGTGGTTGAGCTCAGACTGCAGCCTGTACTTCAGACACCATTACAGCTCTTCCAGATACCGCGAAAATAAGAAGCCAACTATTCCTGGATCTGTGAAGCTCCAACCCATCTGTCAAACTGGGTTAAAACTGGTCCAGAGGGTAAAATGATATGAAGAGGTGACCAATGACCAGCATGAAGCATCAAGCTCCTTTCTCGTAGGAAACAAGGGTAAAAACAATTTCCTGTGGCCCAATATTATTGCAACAGCATGGCTTCTTTTTTGGGGACAACTGGACACAGGCCACCAAGAGGCAAAAGGGACACTTGTGGAGTTGTTACCTCGGACCTACCCCAACCATCCTCTTACAGATGGTGGGCTGCATCTCTGCAAACTCAAACAAGAGCACTTTCTCCTTTCAGCAATAAAAGTAACAAAAAGATGACACTCAACAGGCCTGAAATCAAGGCTATCTTCATCTTACACGCAGGAGACAGGAACCTACATGCTCAGCCACTCTTTCAAAGCCCGGCTGTGTGTCTGCAGCGGGGCAAATCCTTCTGCTCCAGCCAACACTGACCTACAAAAGAAAGGTTGATCCAAACCGATTTAAGGCATTTCAAAGTTAGACCTTGAAAATCAGCTAGTGCTCCAACCCAATTACGTGCCTATATGCACAGGCGGTGGAGGAAGGAATATATTCCCCCCTCCACCCAGTGAGGCTTGTCATTAGATGTCAAAAAAATCTTTGAAAGCCTTTCTTTTCCCAACATAGCAAGCAGAGCCTGTTAACAGCCGCTTAACCACAGAACATCAGGCAGAGCTTTGAATGTCCTGTCACTCCCGATGACGGGTGATGCAGATGAGGCTTTGAAGGTTTTTCAACTTTAACACTTCTTAGGCAGGCTGCTGGCTTCTCTTCCCCCAGGATAAGAGGCAGACTGAAGTTCGCACCACGAAGCTGAGCTGTGTTTGTCTGCCGCGGCTTTGTTCAGGAGACAACAAGAATCAATCCAGGAACTATTTCAAAGGGAAGGAGCCCTGCCATGCTCCCCCAGCATTTCTAATCAGGGCAGTCAGCTATTTTCAGGTGGGTGCTGCTCTCCTTGCAGTAAACATGGCAAAGCGTTGCTGGAAGCGATGCGGGAAGGGAAGACGAAGGGATGGGGCCCTGCCAGGACCACACAGGTAAGTCGGACAGAGCAAACACAGCAGTCCCCATCCAGCCCAACGCATCCCCATCATGTGGTCTCTGGAAAAGCGTCAGAGCGCTGCCCCTAATCCTTGCTCCCACTTCTGCCACGTCACCATAACTCAATAGTGATGTGCATGGGGTACAACACACCCCAGCTTGTCACGAATAACTCCCAGCAAGCTGCAGCCAAGGCCACCCTGTTTAGCTGCTTGCCCACACCTAGTTAGACTTCCATCTGGCTCTGGAAGAGCCACGGTAGGCTTTCAAAAGCCAGGAGGTTGCCACAGGCTCCTGATGATGGTCTGGAGGGATGATGGCAGTCCTGCTGCTGCGGTCAAACACCAGACACACGCAGACTCCTCAAGCATGGACAGCATGATGCCAGGGAAATGCTACATGGCTCCCAGCTTGCCTGGTCCCTTGCAACTTTGCAAGGAGTTTGCACATCCCTGCATGCTCCCATGTCTCACTTTCGGAGGCAGAACATGCTCAGGTCTCTGCAGCAGGCTCATAGCTTCAGGACACCTTGCAGCGTGCAGGAGCTGTGTGCCCCACACATTCTCCCCCTTCTCTGATCCCGGGCTACTGTCTAGTGGTCCATCGTTATGCCAGTCACTGGGGTGGCTGAAACAGCCTCCCAGTCCTTACCCATATCGATGCCGGCTCACATCTCGGATTAGCCGCTCGGAGAGGTAGGCACCGATGCGATCCAGCTTCTCTGGGGCAGACAGAGCGTAAAATGTCAGCTTCTCCATGTTGGTCTTCACCAGACCATCCTGAAAGACAGCAGTGCAGGGTGTCACAGCCTCACACCCAGAACCGGCAAACATCATAAGCATCTCTGCAGCAAACCTTGGCAGCAATACCAGAGGTCTGGAGCACACCAGTCCCATCCCAGTGCTTCCCCACACCTTGTACACAAAGGAAGGCAAATGAGGATTGCATTTAGCCTAGCTGAGGGCTCTCTGATGCACCACAGCCAGGGGTGACCCCAGTGCAAGCCTCCATTGAGCACCCCACATTGTAAATACAATGAGAACCATTTGCCAGCCCCTAGCCATGCCCCAGCACCGAGGGGGACAGGGGCAGACAGGGACATCAACACCTCCACACTACTGAGGCCAAACAACACAAGCGTGCCAAGCTGCCAGCCCCAATCCCCCGCAGCCTGGAAAACTGCGGTGCTTCCTCCTCTCCGCATAGCTCAGCAGCAGCCTCCTCTCTTGTTCAGCTTTGCTGCCAGCGCCATGACAAAACAGGCGCTCACCGCCTCCCTGGGTAATCCCAGCCCTGCTACCCCCAGCCGGGAACCCCTCTTCCACTGCCTTCGCATCTCAGCTGTGAGAAGTAGACAAAGAGACCGGATTTGGGATGCTCCAGGAGCAGCTGGCAGGGCATCCCCCATCTCTAATTCAGCGAGGCAGCAAGCAGGGAACCAGCTTCCCCACATCCTGGAATCATAAGCAGCTTTTGAGCTTGAAAGCCTGGCTGAGGCCTCAAGAGACCCCCACTCTTAGAAGCTGCTTTCCTTATCCTGCAAAGAGAAGGATGTACGCCTTCAGGTCCTGTCCCCCATCCTCCCATCCATCCGTCTTCAGCATCTTCCCGGCACCTTTGGGAAAGGAAGCCTGTCCCTCCAGGCCGATGTGGCTGGAGGAGCTGCTTTTGTATTTCTGCTCACAAACGGGCTTTAAAGGAAAATCCAACCCTCCAGGCACGGTGGAATGGAGTCAAAGCATCGCCCGCCTCCCAGGAGCCATTTCTGGGCAGGTTACTCAGCATCCCTGCAACCTGAGCTGCAGGAGAGCCGCAACACGGTGCAGCATGGAGCTTCGGCACGTGAAGCAGTGCCTCGTTTACCTCTGGGTCCTCGGGGAAGATGTTGTCGACGAGTCTTTTGTAGCGAGGACGCAGGGCACCGCAGCAGCCGCACACACCTGGAAGAGAGAAGACAGAGCCAGTCAGCAGGGACAAAATCCTCAGCTCCAGGGCAAAGCCCTGTGTGGAGGTGCCTTTGGTGGAAAACATATCCTTGGATTCAGTGGGGAAGCCCAAGAAGAGGACACGGCACCAAGCTGACAACATCCCAGAGTTTTTGCAGGCAAAAAAAAACAAGGGAAGAAAACCACAGCTGAGAGGCAGGGAACTGGCTGGTGACCAGCATCATTTGACGTAGGACTGCAGGGTTATCTGCTTTTCTCACCCAAGAAAACAGCCCCCAGAGACCAAGATGTCCAAAGTTCCCCTAAATCTGTGCCTTTCTCTCTCTCAAGATCCTCTTTTGCATCTCCTCAGACCAAGACCTCTTTCCTCCAACCACTCACCCGAGGACACACTGCTTACACCCTGCCCCACGCTCCCCATGGAGCCGGCAGCGATAAAGAGAGCACGGACTGCTGGAGACAGCAAGAGAGAAAAAGAAGAGAAAGCATCTTATAAAGGCTGTGAAAGGAAAATGCATTTTCCCATTTGTAGCCCCAAAGCTGAGCTGTTGAGCAACACCAAAACCACCTTCGATTGCCCCCCTACCTTTGGGCTGCTGGACCAAGGAGGGCACCAAGCGACCTGGTGTTCTGCAGGACACCGACACAACCATACCCACCCTCTCTTTTTGAGGGGCCTCAGCAGGTTGTCCCTGATGCACAAGCTGTGCCCCATGCAGCCTCTCCGAGAGCCAAAACCCCTCGCAGCGGCAACTCCACAGGCAGGCATCAGCCTCATCCCAACTCAGAGCAAAGCAATTAGCCCTAGCTGCTAAATATCCCAAACGTGGCTGCGATCCCCTGCTCTGCTTTTGGGGAGCTGCCGAGGGAGGAAGGGATCGTTTGCAACCTGGATATTTCTCCCTGTGCCATATCCTCTTTCTCAGGGCTGCAGCACACGCTCCGCAGCAGCCAGGGACCCCTCCGTCTTCGGCTGGGGGACGGCCGGCGTTCCAGGTGGGCTCTCGAGCATCCATCGTGCTCCCACACGCACCAAGCACGGGGACGGCTGCAGCACCAGAGAGTTCAGCATCCGTGGGCAATGCCACCCCGATGCATGCCCCTGCGTAAAGCTGTACCAGCGCTGCCCTGCCTACCAGCCACTGATGAATATCTGCAGTTTGTTTATTTAAAAAAGGGGAAAAAAAAAAAAAAAAAAAGAGATTGCCAGAGGCGCTACCGTCCCCAGTGCCGCTCTGAGGGCTTTGCACGCCAGCATTCCCCGGCTCCCGCACAATGCATTTTTTCCCCGGGGCCTGGCGTTACTCGGACACTGCACCCCATGGAGGAGACCGGTGTCAGCCACCCCAAAGCACCAGCCTTTGCGAGCCCGGGGAAGCGTGAGTAATTCGGGGCTGCTTTTTGGCAACCGCCGCCGAGAAGCAGAAGCTGGGGGGACAAAGGCTGCGCCGGTGGGAGCCGGCGACCTCTCCCGCTGGAACACATGAGCTCACGCCTGCCCGCGCCAGCTCCCGGCGCTGGCACGGCTCGCTTCCCGCCATCTCCTCGCTCGCTTCCCGAGCGCTTCGCCTCCGACGGCCGGCGCTCGCGGCGGGGGAGGCAGCCCACCCCACCTGAAAGCTGTCGCTTGCTTTGGGGTCCCCTTTGGCGTCCCCAGGCCCACCGTTCCCAGCAACGCTGCGGTGGCAAAGAGCTCCTTCCACCTCTCGCTCTCTCCCTGCAAACCCCCCCGCACCTTCCCACTATCCAATATTTTATTTCTAAGTCTCCTGTCTGCTGCCCTCCCTCCTCCCTTCTCAGCTGCCTTCGATCGATTTTGCTCTTTTTCCAAAGTACCTTTAATCTGTCCTCTTAATAAATTCTCATTTGCCATTCACACAAACGAGCGTCTGATGATCTCCTGAATCCTCTTAATAAATTCCCCTTGCCCCGGACAGCCGAGGCAGCGTGACTTATCCCAACTTGCCAGGCCACGCATCCCTGCCGACGTCTCAGCACGGGCCATGAGCTCTCCCTGTAAAATAGCTGGAGAGTTTCCCTGTAAGCGAACCCATTGGCCAAGAAGCCAGGTCCCCTCCACCTCCTGCAGCCTCCTCGGCAATTCTCTCACCTCCAGAAATGTGACTTTAGAGTATTTTCAGGATTAATGCACATTCCTAGCCCTGGGAAAGGAGCAAAGAGACCAGCCGTGTTCCCAATCCACCACCCTCATCCTGATGAATGAAACCGAAGAGCAGACGCAGCACGGATCCCATCAATAATAACTGCATAATTAAATCTAATGCCTTCCTTCTCACCTAACACAACCTCTTCTTCCAGAAGCAGGAGATTTTTAAGGCCTCACCTAAAGAAAGCAGCAGCGGGAGACAGACAAAGACCCAAAGTGCCTGCCAGGAGAGGGGACCAGGCGACCCATCAGTCCCACGGGGCAGGAGGATGAAGATGGTCCGGACGGGGAAGGCAGGAAGGTTGCTCAACCCAAAGCCACGTCAGGCCACCGGCGGGCAGGATCCCACCATGGCCCAGCAGAAGGACAGGCCCTCCTACAGCGCGGTGTCTCTGGGGGACTCTCTGATGTCTCGTGAGAGGGCTGAGCTCCCTGCAGCAGGGCACTGAAAGGGTCTCTCTTACTCTGCTTACGTGAAACCAAGAGAAACTTTCCTGCCCCAAACCCCTGCCGTCTGTCGGTTTTGCCCAGCCCAGACATATACAGGCACAGACAGGGAGACCATAAATCCTTAAAAAAGCAGAGTAAAAATGACACAGACCTTGAAGAAAGAGGAAGATTTTCTCTTGTTTTACTTCCCCCCCTCCAAGGGCTCTCCAGAGAGCAACAAACCCAAGCCTGGTCCTGACGCCAGGGCTGAAATCAGCCCCGTGTTTGGTCTATACGGGACCCCCCAGACCCTCGCAGCACCAAACCCTAACGCCGGGGCTAGCAACAACCCCCCAACGAGGGTCTCAGACAGACGTTCCTTCTTCCAGACACCAGTTTCCTTTAGCACCCACCACGCCGACCCCATGCACCTTGTACCCTCGCACCAGCACCGCAGCCACGGCTCGAGCCCCGAGCAAGGCGCCGACAGGCAGCATCCTGCCGCGAGGACAAAACCCTGCAGCCGCAATGCACTCCTCCGGTCCAGGCTGGCACAAGGGATTTAAAAAATAGAAAGATGACACCGAAGGTCATCGGCAGCCAGAGCGGCTTCCCCCTCCCAGGAGATCCAAAGCCAGCATCCCAGGGAAAAGCAAAGTGGGGAGAAGGTACCTGCTCCGGCCACGTGCAGCATCTCCCAGGAGCAGGCAGGGCCAGCAGCACAGAGCCGCAGAGCGGGGCCGAGAGCCCACGTTGTCAAAGCCATCACGTTCGGAGCAAACCGGGGGGCTCGGGGTGCCGGGTATCGCTCTCTTCCTCGCCAAGCAGTAGCCGGTGCCGGCCCAGCGGCAGCATCGCTGCAGGGGGATGCTCAGCCGAGCGGGGAGCAGCCGTTTAAATAAATAAGGGAGCTTTCAGCACGGCTGCTGAGTCACCGAGGCGGCTCTGATGGCAGCTGGGAACGGTGCTGGCTTTGCTCTGCCGGCGTCTGCACCGGTACGCGGGGGCGGCTGGGGAGCTGGGCATTTCGGAGGGCCCCGAAGCGGGGGACAGGGGCGATTTTTCAAGGTCCCTTGAGCCCAAAGCTCTCCCGTTTGGCACATGAAGCATTGCTCGTTTGTGGGCAGCGCTAACAAGGGGGGGGGAGGCTCGGCGGGTCGGAGCTGACACCCCGAAACAGCACCCAGGGATGTGACAGACACACAAGCGTGGACCCGCACGGTGCGTCACGCTCTCCTCCTGCTGGCAGCCCGCCACTGTGGGAACCAAGGACGTGGATTTTCTTAAAGATCAGGTAAAGCGAGGCACGGAGAAACGTGACTCAACCCTCTCCCTATGGAGGGAATAAGGTGGGAAACCCAGGAGCAGCATCAGCTCCCGCGGCTACCCATGATACGTGTGTCACCTCCGTCTTGCACCCACCTGGGGCACCCCAGTGGCATTTATTTTATCGGGCTCTTCACCGCCGCGGCTGAGAGTGAATCTGCGCTCTCGCCGGGGGGCAAAGTGAGCCAAAAGGGCCTTTTGCTTTGATAGCTCAGCTCCAAGAAAGTCAATCTAATTGGGGATAATTACAGTCTTTCAGTCCCAGCGACTGCGGCTTGCTAGCGTAACCCCCACTTAGCTGCTCTGATGCCGGCATGAGCCCCGAGGCTTTCGGATAAACTCATTGCATGCGATTCCAGGAGCGGGGTTCACTGGTACCAGCTGTAACTGGGGTTGTTGGGATCGAGTACGGCCAGCTGAGAATGGGACACAGGCCCAGCTCACCTCCCGAAATGACCACGCACTCTCCCACCAGTGCTCTGACCTTGAGCCTTTCCTTGTTAATCCCCTCCCCTCTCCCCATTTTAATGGCATCCTGGCAATAAGCACGGCTGGAAAACCTTATGGCCATACTATTCGAGGCCTGGAATTTACTTAATAAGGGCACTCCAACTGATTGCAAATAAATCTTAATTAAATCACACAAAATCCCTCATTAAACCTAATATCCCATGAAGGTCGCTCTCTTAACCCCAAGCAAAAACACCGTCCTGAAGGTAGGGGTTGTACCACCAGCCCAGCGCTGTCTTCCCCCGAGCCCCACACTGAACCAGAGACCTTTCCCTAATCTGTTTAGCAAAAGCTCTTTTATGCAGCCGATGTGAGAGTCTCCTTCATACCCACCCTCTGACTCCCTCAGCACTTTGGCACCTGGTGGGTGAGCCTGCCTGGGTAAAAGGATGAAATCTTCCTGCTACGCTTTAGAAATGTCACTGAGCAATATTCAAGTTGGCCTGGCAATCCATCAATCCTATTTTCCATCCCCCCCAGCATGGGCAAGGGGATGCAGCGAGGAGCCCCAGGCCATGGGAAGGAGGAAAAAAAAACATCAGGAAAGGCAAGAAACAAGCAATGCTGGCAGCGAGAAGGGACAGACTCTGTGCTGCAAGGGATGGCGGGCACTGAAAGAGATGTAGGGCACTGCTTGCAGACCCCCTCCTCCCCAAAAGCCATTCCCAGGGGAAAGCCTGCAGCCATAAGCAAGCACGGCTGTGAGCTCCCCTGAGGGAAAGGCTTGCTCAGGCGCTCCTCTGAGCTTCTGCCACCAATTTAAGAGGCAGGAAAACCTACACTAAAAATCCAGCTTCTGTGCCAGCAAGCCCCCATTTGCCTCCGCACCCCCACGGAGCCAGGGCAGATCCCAATGTAAATCAGCACAGCCCCACGGGCCAGCAGTGGTGTAAAGCAAGCCAGTAAATCTCTCCCTAATCGTGTTTAAGAGAGCCAAACGCACTGGGCACCGATTAAAACCGCTGCCCAACGCCCTCCTCGCAGGGTGCCATGCTGGGAACAGGGTGCAGACTGCAAGGTGCCCCGTGCCCTGGCAGGGGGAGGCAACAGCAGCCCCCACGCTGGGAGGGGAGGCAGATCGAGCAGTTCAGATCAGCCCGGTGCAAAGACGAGCTGTTGGAATAGAGAAGCCATGAAAAGATGGGGGACCTCGGGTGGTTGCATTAGACCTCTACCACCTTTAGGGGGGGAGGAAGAAGCGGGGAGGTGGCCAAATCCAGCTCGCCCCTGCAGCTCTGCAATTCAGAGCAATGTCTTGATGTTAATTAATAGTTCCTGACCTTCCTGAACTGTTCGGGCGCCACGGCTTGTTCCCTTTGCCGCTCGTTAATCACTGCTCATCCAAGTGTCCTTCCATAAGAGCATCTGCAAAGGGGGTGTTATAAAAGCTGACAGCTCATCTGCGAGCAGAGACGCTTTTGAGGACGCTGCAGAAGACCCAAACTTCCAAGGGCAGCACAAGCCAGCGCTGATCACAGGGAGCCACTTCTCTTGACGCCGGCACGAAGGGACAGAGAAATATTTCGAGGCACAGACAGCGAAACATTTCGAGGCACCAACAGCAAAGGAAGAGCAGACGCCTGGGACTGGCGAGCCAAGGCTGCTCCTGACAGGACGTATTTCTCTTGTCGCTGAGCGGGATGGACAGGAGCATGCCGGAGATGGAAACGCTCTCCCAGACATCGCCCGCAGCCCGCTCAGAGCCGTCGGCGCAAAGCCTTTTAGCTCAGCAATTAAATTCGCAGCTTCCCCCTGGCACTCCTCCACGCGCCGCTCTCGCCTCGCTTCCACCGACGCAGCCGGGGCTCGTCGGGGCAGACACCGCAGCCGGGGGGGCAAAGCAGCTCCACGCAGAGCCCCAGCGTACGACCCTGTGCCTGGGCTCCCCCAGCCCGTGCGGGGACCCCCCCAAACAGGAGCTGCTCCAGAGGCCAAATCCACGCTGGTGCCAGCTTGTCTGAATCCCACCTGAATTTGCCCAAACACGCTCCCTCCCATCTCCCCCCCCTTCCAAATGCCGACAGCTCGAGGCATGCGGGCATCAAATCCAGCTTTAAAAACTCCGTGGCGAGCGGTGGGACATAAATCAGCCCCGCTGCCAGCTTACACCAGCGATGGATTTGGCCCTCCATTATTTACACTTCAGTGCTCGGCCGAGCCTGCCACTCCGACACCGCAGCGCGCGCGCAAAGCTTCAACAGCAGCCAGATTAATTAATATTTCACAGCGGTGATTAGACTCGGGCATTAAGACCACACCAGCCCTTTTGCATGCAGGGGAAACCACCCATTAAGGGTAGAGCTGCGCACCGGGAGGTTTGCATTACGTACCTGGCACGCCGGCAGTGCCAGTTCGAGGGCAGAAGAAGGGGAGTTAAGCGCCTTAATGGGTGCCTGGTTTCATCACACAACCCGTGGCAGAGGGAAAAGCTGGGGGGAGGAAAGAGCTTAAACAGCAGGAAATTCACTCAAACTCCGGCCTCGACGCAGCTCCTCAATGCGAGACGTTCACCAGTTGTCGCGTGGACGTGGTGTGTCTGGTCCGGACCACGTAGGTGGGGAAGCTCCGACGGAGGCTGAGGGTCCACCCAGCATCAGGGCCAGCCTCTGAAACCTGCTTAATTAAGAGCCAGGTTCATTTTGCAAGCCCAGGGCCTTGCCCCACGCAGCGCAGAGCCGGATGCGAAGGAATGGCCAAGGACACAGGAAGGCTTGCAAGTTTGAAAGGTTTTTAGAGAAAAAAACCACACGCAGCCCTCCCACCCTGTTTTGCACATTCAACAAAAAACACAAGAAGGACCTTCGTGAGATGCTGACCACACACGTCTCTGTGGTTTCTTATTTCCCCAAGACAGGCTCCATCAAAGCCTACAGACAGTTTTAGCTTTTGGCAGAAAACCTGACCGAACACCCTCATTTACAGAGAGACAGAAACGTGATGGGACCAGCTACAGCCACTCTTTCTCTCCAGCCTTTCTGGGTTGTTCGCAGTCCCTGCGGAGGGGGAGCAACTCCAGTCCCCAAGGCAGAGCGACCTGCGACAGAACTACAGCACTGCAAGGGTTCAGCCAAGAGCGGAGCAGCTCTGGAAGTCCATTTTCTTGTGCAACTACTGATTGCGCAAGCAATTGCCCGAGCCCTTAAGTGGTCAGGCTTGATGAGGTTTGAGGTGAGCAACGCCAGCTCCTGGCCTGGCACAATCCCCTCTAGCATTTGCTCCAGGCGGAGGAGTGCCCATCTTCACTGCACGGGTCAAATCCTGCCCGCACATGGCAATGCTGTCTGGAAATGCACCAGGAAAAACGCTCTGGAGTCTGCCACGGCCATCGAGGTTTAACACAAACCCATAAAGAGCGGTGGGTGGGTGACCTGGGAAAGCCCCCAGCACTGCTGGCACCACAAATAGCCCCTTTTCCTCTACGAGCACTGAATTAATTTGCAGATCATTTAGTTAAAAAGCATAGAAGAAAAAGCCCCCCCCAAAAAGCTTAATTGCATTTCACATTCCCCTGCTGAGCCATCCAGTCCCACCGAGCGCTATTTATTTAGCGCAAAACCCATCCGCTTGTGAGGCTGCTGGCTGTGACTCAGTGGCACGCTGGCAGCCCCAGACGGCTCGCAGGGACCTTGCTGGCGCCCACCACCGACAACGCCTCTTCCCCGGGTAGCCAAAAAACCTCATTTCCCCTGCTCCAGCTGCTGCTGAAAAAAAAAAAAAAAAAAGGGAACCTTCTCTATTTCCAGCTCCGCTGGCGTGGGAGGAGACAGCTCGTGCCGGGGCGACCAGAAAGCAAAGCGAGGGAGTGTGGAGGAAACAAACTGCGGTGAGCGGCTGCGGGGCTGGACGGTTGGCATACGGCTCCCAAAGGCTGCTGCTGCAGCTCTGACACACGCTGCCTTCCCAGCAGCTGCCAAAAGTATGGGGGGGATT